GAATCATTCTGGTAGGCTCAGGCCCCATGTGGCCTCTTACCTTGGCACTATACTGGTTGAGCTCTCCACTCTCATGGCCAGCGATGATGCACTCCCCCAGGGGTCCCCAAACAGCACTGGTGATTTTAGAGTCGTTGCAAGGGATCTTCATGTAGGGCTCATTGTTGTCTGTGTGGAGCAGTAGATGTTAGGCCCTGGGCTCTAGAGCTGCACCCTTTACCTCAACCCCAGCCCTAATCCCAGCCCTCACCAATCTGGCTTGGATCCCGCAGGTCAAAGAAGCTCACAAAGCACTGGTAGCCCATCTGCTTGTCTGTGGAGAACATGATGATGTTGCCCCCAAAGTCAAAACCACAGGTCCGGACAGCCGAATTGGTCTTGAGAAGGGCCAGCTGCTTCCCTGGAAACAGGCAGAGTCTGGGCTACACCATCCATTGCAATTGCAGGGAGGACATTCTAGAGAATGCCATCATCGCATCTCACTGTTTCTCTTGCTCCAGTAACCCAAACTTAGAAAGTATTTTTTCTTTTTTTTTTTCTTTTTTGAGACAGAGTCTTGCTCTGTTTCCCAGGCTGGAGTGCACTGGCACGATCTCGGCTCACTGCAAGCTCCGCCTCCTGGGTTCAAGCCATTCTCCTGCCTCAGCCTCCCAAGTAGCTGGGACTACAGGTGCCCACCACCACGCCCCGCTCATTTTTTGTATTTTTAGTAGAGACGGGGTTTTACCATGTTAGCCAGGATAGTCTTGATCTCCTGACCTCATGATCCGCCCACCCTGACCTCCCAAAGTGCTAGAATTACAGGTGTGAGCCACTGCGCCAGGCCCTTTTTTTTTTTTTGAGATAGAGTTTTGCTCTCGTCCCACAGGCTGGAGTGCAATGGTGTGATCTCGGCTCACTGAAACCTTTCAAGCGATTCTCCTGCCTCAGCCTCCCGAGTAGTTGGGATTACAAGCACCCGCCACCATGCCTGGCTCATTTTTGTATTTTTAGTAGACGGGGTTTCACCTTGTTGGCCAGGCTGGTCTTGAACTCCTGACCTCAGGTGATCCACTCGCCTCGACCTCCTAAAGTGCTGGGATTAACAGGCGTGAGCCACCACACCTGGCCAAGTATTTTAACTTCTTATCCAGACTCTTTCCTCAGACATCCTGCTAATGTGGTACTGCTCATACGTAGACTGCAATATATCTATCTCCCCACTCAGACTGCAATCCTCCACAGCAAAGACCTGATCTGATTTCCCTGCATGTCCCCAGTGCCCAGCATAGACCTGGCACTAAACAGAACAGCTTAGGCTGGGCACAGTGGCTTATGCCTGTATTCCCAGCACTTTGGGAGGCTGAGGTGGATCACTTGAGGTGAGGAGTTTGAGACCAGCCTGGCCAACATGGTGAAACCCCATCTCTACTAAAAATACAAAAATTAGCCACCGGCCAGGCGCAGTGGCTCACGCCTGTAATCCCATCACTTTGGGAGGCTGAGGTGGGTGGATCACCTGAGGTCTGGAGTTTGAGACCAGCCTGGCCAATACAGTAAACCCTATCTCTACTAAAAATACAAAAATTAGTCAGGTGTGATGGTGCATGTCTATAATCCCAGCTATTCGGGAGGCTGAGACAGGAGAATCACTTGAACCCAGGAGGCAGAGATTGCAGTGAGCCAAGATTATGCCACTGCACTCCAGCCTGGGTGACAGAGCGAGAGAATCTGTCTCAAAAAAAAAATTAGCCAAGCATGGTAGTGTGCGTCTATAATCCCAGCTACTCGGGCTGGCTGAGACAGGAGAATCCCTTGAACCCAGGAGGCGGAGGTTGCAGTGAGCCAAGATCATGCCATTGCTCTCCAGCCTGGGCGACAGCGAGACTCTGTCTCAAAAACAAGAAAAAGAAAAAAAAAAAAAAAAGAAAACTTAATAGGCTCCCCTGTCTTCAGTCTTAGCTCTTCCAGTGCCTCCCCCTGCTCCCTGACCTTGCTAAACTGAACAGACCCCCACTCTTGCCTGCTCAGGGACCTCCACAGCACCCCATATTCTATGGAACAAAGCCAAGCTCCTGAGTTTGGCATTCAAGACCTGTTCTGGCCTTAGCCTGACTCTCCAGCTTCATCTTTTCCATGACTGTGTATTTCACCCCCCTACCCCCACCCCACCAAGAAGCAGGAATTGCAGCCAGATCAGATGACTTGGACACAACAGTCTCCACACTTTCACTCCTGCATGTGCCAAAGTGATGACGTCTTTCTTCATCCTTTAAGCCCCAGCTCATATGACATTTACCTTGGGAAACCTTCCCAGGCTGCTCCCATCCCCACTCTAGGGAGCCAGTTGCTGGGCTCTGGCCTCCCATAGTAATCTACGCTTCCTCTACCATGGTGTATATCTTACTGTAAGACTTCTTTTCTCATCTGTCTTTCTTGTCTCTTATTCCCTAGACTGGAAACTATCTATGGATTTCATCTCTATTTTCCTAGGACCTGTTGCTAAAAAAGTGAATGAACCTAGCTTACCTGTTTCACAGTCCCAGAGACGACAGCTGTTGTCAGCTGAGCCAGTGAGGACATGCTTGGTGTCCCCTGAAGAGTTGTTAAGAAACATGACAAAGTTCACCTGAGCCCTTGTCCTCTGGGGGAGGCCAAGTGAATCATCTCCCTGTTCAGCCCCAAAGAGCCTTTCTTCCCCTCTTACCTCCTTATCCAGAACTGGAACTTGTCCTAAATGTTTCCCCAGCCAGTGAAGAGACCAGGGAATGGGAGGTATTGTTCTCTAGGCCCTCAACAACACCCCCAACTCCCAACTTCCAGCCTAGCCTCTCCATTGCTGACAGACCCTAGCAGCATGGACTCAGAGCCAAAACAAGGATACAGTCAGCGTCCACACACCACACAGCTCCGGTATGGCCCATGTAGGTGCCCAGCCTCTCACCATTCACAGAGTACCATACATTGACGATCTGGAAAAGTCAAACCACAGGATAGTAAGAGCGATGCTTCCTACTTTACCCCAGGAACCCTCAGCAGCCTGTAGCCAGGCTGATTCTGCCCTCTTCTCTTCATTTCTTGGGAAACAGCAGGGAGCTGATAAAAAGACCAACTCCTGGATTCTCCTCCCTTTCTGAAGGTAAGCAACAGAGGAGTCAGGCGGCTTGTAAAAGCATCCTCATTTGTTAGCTCCAGCTCTCCTGGGACTCCCAGTGGCTCCAAAGAATAAAAGACCAAGTTGAGCTCCAGTCCAGAAAAACAGTATCTCTGATGTCTTATCCAAGTGGGAGCAGTTGATAGTAGGGAAGTCTGAGTTCCAGTGCCTGCTCTGCCACTGTCTCACTGTACGATCTCAAATACAGTGCTTCTCTCCTTTGAAGCTCAGTTTTCTCATCTTGAAAATGGCCAGGCTGGGTGTGGTAGCTCACGCCTGTAATCCTAGCACTTTGGGAGGCTGAGGCAGGCAGATCACCTGAGGTCAGGAGTTCAAGACCAGCCTGGCCAACATGGTGAAACCCTGTCTCTACTAAAAATACAAAAACTTAGCCGGGCGTGGTGGCACGAGCCTGTAGTCCCAGCTACTCAGGAGGCTGAGGCAGGAGAATCGCTTGAACCTGGGAGGCGGAGGCTGCAGTGAGCTGCGATTGCACCACTGCACTCCAGCCTGGGTGACAGAGCGAGACTCCGTACCCCAAAAAATAAAATAAAATTTAAAAAAGGCAGTATTATGAGGGACTGTTTTGCATTGAGTAGCAGGATGGGACTGACTTAAAATGAGACTAGAGACAGCCTCATTAAGTCCCCTGTGTCTGAATAACACAGCCTGCACCTATCCTGGTAGAAAAATTAGATTATCCCTAAAGGCCGCATCCCATTCTCTGGGCAAGCTGACCCTCATCCTTATCCCCTTTCCACAGTGGTCTTCTGCTTTTCTTTTCTTTTCTTTTTTTTTTTTGAGACAGAGTCTCGCTCTGTTGCCCAGGCTGGAGAGCAGGGGCGCCATCTCGGCTCACTGCAGCCTCCGCCTCCCGGGTTCACGCCATTCTCCTGCCTCAGCCTCCCGTGTAGCTGGGAGTACAGGCACCCGCCACCGCGCCCGACTAATTTTTTGTCCTTTTAGTAGAGACAGGGTTTCACCATGTTAGCCAGGATGGTCTCGATCTCCTGACCTCGTGATCCTCACGCCTCACCTTCCCAAAGTGCTGGGATTACAGGCTTGAGTCACCCCGCCCGGCAACTGTCTCTTGCTTTTCTTGGAGTGCAGTGGCACGATCTCAGCTCACCGGGCTCCAGCGATCCTCTCGTTTCAGACTCCGAAGCAGCTGAGGCCACAGGCGCGAGCCACCACATCAGGCTAATTTTTTGTGTGTAGAGATGGGTCTTACTATGTTGCTCAAGCTGGTCTCCAACTCCTGGGCTCAAGCGATCCTCCCACCTCGGCCTCTCAAAGTGCTGGGATTACAGGCGTGAGCCACCGCACTCGGCCAATCGAGTTCTTCCCCACCTTTCCCAGTAGAATACTTTCGCCAACCTATCCCCGGGATGGCCTCTCCCTACTTCTCAGAATGGGCCGTTCTTTGGTTCCCCGCTAACGGCAAAACTGGCATGTCCACCCATCGTCCTGGCAGAAGGATCTCTCCCCTCCCGGACCCCCTCCGCATGGTCCCGCCCGCCCTCCAGCCGACGCTCACAGGGTCCTTGGCCACAGTAAAGAGGAGGTCTCCTTCGCGGTTATACTTAATCTGCGTAATGGACCGCTCATGGCCCTGCAGTAGGATCGGCTTCTGTGGGGACAAGATGGTAACGTCAGTGCTCGGAATTGGGCCCCGGCCTCAGCCCAGGACCCCCACTGCAATACCCACAACTCTGAAACTCACCATCCCGGCGGTGACGCGAGGAAGGCCGCAACGTGAGTAGGACCGGAAAACGCTTTGGGTCCACTTCCGGATTATGGGTCTCCGCCCCCTCGTTCCCGGAAGTAGAAGACAGCGGCGTTGCCATGGCGGCGTCTCTGGGTAGGTAGCCGACCCCGCCCCTCCATGGATTTCCCGACCCTCGCCTCGAATTCATTTCCTGCTCCACCTGCACCCCCTAATCCCTACCCCTGCTACAACCCCAGAGGCTGGACTCCTGGATTCATCTCCCCAGCCTCCCTGGGCCTGCCTTAGCCGCCAGTCGCAGCCGAGGCGAAGACAGCGAAGGAGGGAAGTGGGGGCGGCTAGCTGGGGCTAGGAGGCCAGGAGAGGGCGGGGTGGGCGGCCGTTTGGGGTGGGGGTCAGGGTGACGCACTCGTCTGTATTCAGGGCAGGTGCTGGCTCTGGTGCTGGTGGCCGCTCTGTGGGGTGGCACGCAACCGCTGCTGAAGCGGGCCTCCGCCGGCCTGCAACGGGTTCATGAGCCGACCTGGGCCCGGCAGTTGCTACAGGAGATGAAGACCCTCTTCTTGAATACTGAGGTGCGTCTGTGAAAGGCCCCTCTCTCGGGGGAGTTGCCACCAATAATTTGGTCTTTGGAGTCAAACAGGTGTGGGTCAGCCCCACCCCCACTCACCAGAAATTCTCCGAAGAGTCAGTTGTCCTCCTTAAGCCTCAGTTTCATCATCTGTAAATGGCGATTATAATAATAACCATCTATCTGATAGGGCAGTTGTAGGAATTAGGTGAGATACGTATAGCATTTATCTTTGGGCCTAGAACATAGTAAGTGCTCAATCTATGGCTGCCATTATTCACATTTTATTATTGTGATTCCTTCAGTTAAATAAGGCAACATTTGTGAGCCTTTCCAGAGGGAGGACTTAGGGCTCAAATTGGCCCTGCAGGGGAGGAGTTCAGAGTAGGAAGGCTGGAGCTGGAGGACTTGGGGAAGGATTCCTGGAGGAGCTGACATTGGCATCAAGGCCTTGCAGGATGGGAATTAGCAGAGTTGAGGGAGAGGGTAGTTTGAGCAAAGGCACAGAGTTCAGTCTGTTTCCCTCTTTGCCCTGGAAGGGTTCTCCTTAGAGGGATTAGTGTTCTCTGGGTCTTTATAACCCTCCCTCCCTCCAAGGAAAGGCATTCGCTAGGAGCTCAAAGAAGGCCGTGCTGCTTAGTCAGGCCATCACACTGACTGCAGGTTTCTCCTCTTTCCAGTACCTGATGCCCTTTCTCCTCAACCAGTGTGGCTCCCTTCTCTATTACCTCACCTTGGCATCGACAGGTGGGTCCTGGCTTGAAACTGTTCTGCTTAGTGTTTGAGGCCACCTGGAAGAGTGATTTGAGGGGGTGGAGCTTGAAACACCTCATTCCCATCAGTGAGAGAGGGCTGACTAGCTCTAGTTCCCTCTTAGTACCCTCTTCTCTGAACAAGAGGGACACAGTGGGCTGGTTATGAGTATGTTGCTAGGCACTGGCGTTGGTTTGAAGCCTGGCAGTCTTGTGTGACCAGCGGAGGAAGAAGGAAGGTTCATTTTGCTGTGCCAAGTGCTGGCTTTCACATTCTTGCTTCCACTGTGTCCTACCTGTCTGACCATGAGCAAGTCCCTCATTTGAGCCTTGGTTTTATACAGCTGGCTTCATAGCATTGTGAGGATTAAATTTAATGAATGAGAAACATGTAGGAGAGTGCCTGGCACACAGTTAGAACTCCATATACATAAATTTCCTTTCTCTTGACATTTGTTGACTGCCCTCTACTACGTCAGATACTGCACTAGTCTTACACATTATTTAATTCCAATCATGATTCTGTAAAGCAGACATGATTATCTTAGAAAATGAAGTTGCAGAACTTTGGGCAATTTCACCTCTCTTAAGTCCCACAGTATGTCAGTGCAGAAGGATTTGAAGCCATATATTAAAGTTTATGCTCGACTGGGTATGGTGTCTCACGCCTGTAATCCCAGCCCTTTGGGAGGCCAAGGAGGGCAGATCACTTGAGGTCAGGAGTTTGAGACCAGCCTGGCCAACATGCTGAAACCCCATCTCTACTAAAAATAACAAAATTAGCCAGGTGTGGTGGTGCGTGCCTGTAGTCCCAGCTACTTGGGAGGCTGAGGCACAAGAATGACTTGAACCCAGGAGGCGGAGGTTGCAGTAAGCAGAGATCACGCCACTGCACTCCAGTCCCTGGGCAACAGAGCGAGACTCTGTCTCAAAAGTAAATAAATAAATAAATAATATGCACTTATTTATGAGTTTGAAAGCCTCTGGCCTCATGCATTCACTGCTGTGGAAGAATGCTGAACCCTTGACCAGCTGACTACAGCTAGCCATTCACCAAGTTTTAATCACAGTATTAGATTCTTTTTATCTCATTACCCTCTCTGCCTGTATCCTTTAATATCCATCCTTTCTAATAACAAGAACAGTAATCACTATTTATGAAGCGTCCACTTCAGCCAGGGACGATCCATGCATTATCACAGCTCATCTTAACAACAGTCCAACAAAAGAAATGGTATACTGTGATCCCTGTTTTACATATGGGGAAACAGGTTGAGTGTTTGAATATCCTAACCAAGATTACAAGGGAAACTCAGATCTGCCTCACTCCAATGCCCTCACTTTCCCACTGCACTGTGCTATATCCTTCTCCCATCTACTGTTGCAAACCAGACCTCAGCAGCCATGACACTCCTTGTAAGGTATATAAACTTAAGAAGGCAGTTCTGGGCAGGGCGCAGTGGCTCAGGCCTGTAATTCCAGCAATTTTGGAGGCTGAAGTGGGCAGATAACCTGAGCCTAGGAGACCAGCCTAGGAACAACAGCAACAAAAAATATATAAAAATTAGCTGGGCTTAGTGGTGCATGCCTGTAGTCCTAGCTGCTCAGGAGGCTGAGGTGGGAGGATCGCTTGAGCTCAGGAGGTTGAGGCTGCAGTGATCAGTGACCTTACCACTGCACTTCAGCCTGAGCAACAGAGAGACCCTGTCTCAAAACAACAACAAAAAGAAAAAACAACAAAGAAAGCAGCTCTTTGTAAGTGGGGTTGTTATATCAATTTCTTAGATGGGTAATGCCTCCATGCTGGGGCCTCTCAGGGGATGAGGAACAGGACAGTTTGCTCCTCTCCCTCACACAGGTGAGCCCTGGGAGTGCTGGGAAAGAATGTGCTGAGGAGCCAGTGTGAGCATCTGGTCTGCAGTTGAGTCTTACTATGGATAACTCAGCTGATTTATCCATTGGTCTTTTTTTGTGTGTATGTGGCTTTTTTTTATTTTTTATTTTTTATTTTGAGAGGGTATTTTGCTCTTGTTGCCCAAGCTGGAGTGCAATGGTACAGTCTTGGCTCACTGCAACCTCCGCCTCCCGGGTTCAAGTGATTCTCCTGCCTCAGCCTCCCCACCAGCTGAGATTACAGGCACGTGCTACCACGCCCGGCTAATTTTGTTTTTTTGTTTTTTTGTTTGTTTTTGAGATGGAGCCTTGCTCTGTCACCTAGGCTGGAGTGCAGTGGTGCAATCTCTGGTCACTGCAACCTCTGCCTCCCAGGTTCAAGCAATTCTCCTGCCTCAGCCTCCCAAGCAGCTGGAACTACAGGCATGTGCCATCATGCTTGGCTAATTTTTGTATTTTTAGTAGAGATGGGGTTTCACCATGTTGGCCAGGCTGGTCTTGAACTCCTGACCTCAAATGATCCATCTGCCTTGGCCTCCCAAAGTGCTGGGATTGCAGGTGTGAGCCACCACACCCAGCCTAATTTTGTATTTTTAGTAGACGGGGTTTCTCCATGTTGGTCAGGCTGGTCTCTAACTCCCGACCTCAGGTGATCCGCCCGCCTCGGCCTTCCAAAATGCTGGGATTACAGGTGTGAGCCACTGTGCCTGGCTGTGGCTGTCTCTCTTTTTTTTTTTTTTTTAAGATGGATCTCACTCTGTTGCCCAGGCTGGAGTGCAGTAGCCCGATCTCCGGTCACTGCAACTTCTATCTCCCGGATTCAAGCAATTCTCCTGCCTCAGCCTCCTGAGTAGCTGGGATTATGTGCCACCACGGCTGGCTAATTTTTGTATATTTAGTAGAGATGGGGTTTCACCATGTTGGCCAGGCTGGTCTTGAACTCCGGACCTCAAGTGATCCACCCACTTCAGCCTTCCAAAGTGCTGGCATTACAGGCGTGAGCCACCACTCCCGGCCTGTGGCTCTCTTTTTAATGTGATAACAACACTTAACAGGAGATCTACCCTCAACAAATTTTTTTTTTTTTTTTTTTTTTTTTTTTTAAGATGAAGTCTCGGCCGGGCGTGGTGGCTCAAGCCTGTAATCCCAGCGCTTTGGGAGGCCGAGACGGGCAGATCACGAGGTCAGGAGATTGAGACTATCCTGGCTAACACAGTGAAACCCCGTCTCTATTAAAAAATACAAAAAACTAGCCGGGCGAGGTGGCGGGCGCCTGTAGTCCCAGCCACTCGGGAGACTGAGGCAGGAGAATGGCGTAAACCCGGGAGGCGGAGCTTGCAGTGAGCTGAGATCTGGCCATTGCACTCCAGCCTGGGCAACAGAGCAAGACTCTGTCTCAAAAAAAAAAAAAAAAGATGGAGTCTCCCTCTTGTCGCCCAGACAGGAATGCAGCGGTGTGATCTCGGCTCACAACAACATCCACCTCCCGGGTTCAAGAGATTCTCGTTACTCAGCCTCCCAAGTAGCTGGGATTACAGGCGCCTGCCACCACACCTGGCTGATACTTGTATTTTTAGTAGAGACGGGGTTTCCCCAGGTTGGCCAGGCTGGTCTCGAACACCCTACCTCTGGTGATCCACCTGCCTCGGCCTCCCAGTGCTGGGAATACAGGCGTGAGCCACTGTGCCTGGCCAACAAATTTTAAGTTAACTCCACTAGTCTTTTTCTTTTCTTTTCTTTTCTTTTTTGAGACGGAGTTTCACTCTTGTTCCACAGGCTGGAGTGCAATGGCGTGATCTTGGCTCACTGCAACTTCCGCCTCCTGGGTGCAAGCACTTCTCCTGTCTCAGCCTCCTGAGTAGCTGGGATTACCGGTGCCTGCCACTACGCCTGGCTAATTTTTGGTATTTTTAGTAGAGACGGGGTTTCACCATGTTGGCCAGGCTGATCTCAAACTCCTGACCTCAGGTGATCCACCTGCCTTGGCCTCCCAAAGTGCTGGGATTAGAGGCGTGAGCCACCGCGCCCGGCCAACTCCATTACTCTTTTTCAAGTTTGCTTATTGGCAATCAGCCCCTTGGAACTTCGGAATTAAGGAACAGATCCTGGGCTCTGATGCCCTCTGCCCACACCATTGGTCCAGCCCAATGTCCTGAACAGGCCCTGGCTTCTTCCTTCTGACGCTTTTTAACTCCATAAGGCCTGAGCTTGGGCTGAAACAGAAACAAAATGTGCTTCACCTGATGTTCTGCTTTGTCTGTATCCACAGCTCAATAACAGCGCAGGTTTTGGAGTCAGGCAAGCCTTAGTTTAAATCCTCAACTTGCCTTAGTTTATGTGACTTCTTTGAGCCTTTGTTTCCTTTATGCAAAATGGTGATAATTCCCTTCTTGCAGTGTTGTGAAAATTGAGATATGTACACAAAGCACCTAGGCCATGGTATTACAATAGTGGCTGTGCTTGGTGTTACTTGACTCTCTACTGCATCCTTTGGGATTTGGGTGCCTGCCTGTCTGTGCAGATGTCCTTGAGATCTCACAAGTTCTCTCTGAGTGCAAAGACCTCATTCTCATTATCAAACCAGGCTGGTCCCAGACCTCAGAGTTCAGGTCTTCATGCTGGAATCCTGGGAAGCACTGAACGTGGAGTCAGGAGATGTGGGTTTGAGTCCTGAGATTTGCTGTGACTTCAGCTGGAAGATGGGGTTATGATACCTTTTTTAAAGGTATGAAACGATGATAATGGAAGTGTTTTGTGCCTAGAAAGGCATTTGTTGCATCTCAGGCATTCTTTCCATTCTGACCACCCAGATCTGACCCTAGCTGTGCCCATCTGTAACTCTCTGGCCATCATCTTCACATTGATTGTTGGCAAGGCCCTTGGAGAAGATATTGGTGGAAAACGTAAGTCAGGCTACTGCGAGTGCAGGACTCAGCTCTTTGGACATCGACATACCTGTGTTAGTTCCTTCCCAGAACCCATCTCCCCAGAGTGGGTGAGGGCACGGCCTTTTCCCATCCTGCCCTTTCCTCTGCAGCTGTTCTGCTTCCTTGTGGCCTTCAGAGTTCCCTTGCCCTGGACAGTTTGGGGACAGAGGCTGGGGCGGGATTCAGGACCAGACCCCATCTGAGCCCTTCCTCCAGCCCTGTACCAGCTCCTACTGGCCTGGCTAAGTTCAGACCCCCTTGATTTCTGCCTATTATCCCAGGAGCAGTTGCTGGCATGGTGCTCACTGTGATAGGAATTTCACTCTGCGTCACAAGCTCAGTGAGTAAGACCCAGGGGCAGCCGTCTACCCTTTGAGTGGGCTGAACCCACCTCCAGCTCTGCTGCCTCCAGGAAGCACCTGGGCCATGAAGTGCTGGCAGTGAGTGGATGGACCTAGCACTTCTCCTCTCTGGCTTCAGCTTCCTCCTCTCTTAAGGGGATAACAGCTACCTCATGGATCACAATAAGAGAACAAGAGTGAAAGGGTTTTGTAACCTTCAAGTGCTGTTCAGCTGCTGGGATTTAGCACAGGAGACTCTACGCTCACCTTCAGCAACCTTTCTGCCCCAGCAGCTCTCTTCCTGCTGACATCTCAGGCCCCCAGCCCAGCCACCATTACTGTGGCCTGATCTGGACTATCATGGTGGCAAGTTCCATGGACTGCAGAACCCCAGCTGCATGGAAAGGGCCAGCTGCAGACTTTGAGCCAAAAATGCAAACGGGAGGCCTCCAGGGCTCAGTCAGAGCACCTTGGCTGAATGAGGAGTGGAACCGAGGGGAAGAAGGTACATCGGAGTGGCAGATGCAGATGAGCTGTCTATTAGCCTTGCCTGCCTCACCCATGAGGTGGGCAGAAATCCTCACTGCCAGCCCCTCTTAAACAGGTAGACAGCTGTGAGCCCCAGCCTCACCTGACTCCAGCACCCAGCATACCTGGCGAGTAGTAGCTGTCAATAAATCTGGTAAACAGACAGAGGTTAGTAAGTATTCTTTTATTGTGACAAACCCGCTCCCCCGTTTGTAGCCTGTCCCCCAGGCTCAGTCAGCTACTCCTTTCTGTGGCTAGAGAATCCCATAAGGAAATAGCCCCCAAGCCAGGGCTGCTCTGCTCAGAGGAAGGGAAGGCTGGGCTGTGGGTTTAGGAGCAGGAGAACTGGGAGGACTGAGGAGGCCGCAGTGTACCCTGTGAGCCCAGGGGAGGTGCTGGCTCCTGAGGAACAAGCTGCTGGAGGCTGAGGACAAAAGGTGGCCAGAGTGGTGGTCCCCAGTTCCCCTCTGGAGCTGCTGGCTCTCAAGATGGCAGAGCTGGGGCTGAGGCTGAGATAGCAGCCCCAGCCCCAGGCTGGTTTTCCAGGGACAGGGCCTCTTCCGCTATCTGTGCTGCCCTCTGGAGGAGGTGGAAGGCCACACAGAATGGAACCGTGAGTATAGCCAGCCTCTAGCTCTCAGCCATGAGGTCCCCGACCCCAAGGAAGGAAGAAACTGGAAATTAGGAACTGCTTCCTCATGTAACAAGGTAGGAAGTTAGGAGATCATTTACCTTCAGTCACAAGGGAGAACTGTTCCTGGGGCCCAGGGGTGCCAATTTCCAGCTCAGAGCTCCTCCCATCCCAACATACTGTTCCCTGATCCAACGGCTTACCTGATCCAAGGGCTCCTCTGTCTGGGTGTCTTCATCATCTGCTACTTCCTGGGCTCCCTCGCTGTCTCCTTCCTTGGGTGGGGAGCTCCATATACTCCTGTAACTCCTAAAGAGGGAGGCAGCACTGGGTGATGCCCAGGCTGAAGAGCCCTCAGCATTCCTGCCCTGGACCTTCATGCCAGCCCCTTTCCCTCCCCTGAACCTGGTTCTGCGTTCCCCACCACCTCCCAGGATGGCAGGGAAGTGAGAGGTGGGCCTTTGGTCCCACCCCCATCCCCTCTAGATCCCACCCCTGAAGTCTCATCGCTTTAAGCACTGTCCTTTCCAGGCGCTTCTTTTCGTGTGATGAGGCCCTGTGAAGAAGGAACAGGATATACAGATGGGGGGAGCTGGAGACAGTTATGATGAGGTTAGGACCAGCCTTTTTTTTTTTTTAACAGGCAGTCTCCTGAGTCAGAGTAGGCTCAGACTCCTTTATCTTTTTTTTTTTTTTTTCAGTGCCAGCTTTGTGTGTGGGCATTCTGCTCCCATGGACATCCCTAACAACAGCAGGGACCAATCCATGTCACTGTGAAAAGGCAGCTGAGAAGGGCCTGAGCCCCAGGGACCCCTCACCTGATGGGAATGAGAGTATGGGGAGCTTGCTTCTTGGCTGAATGGTCTGCTGGGGTCTGGCATAGAAAGTGGATGGCTTAATTCCGTCTGGTTCCTTTGGAGAGGACTGGGTTACCTGGGCCCTGTGGCCTTGGGCCTAGAGAAGGGACACTGGGCTTGGACCCTGGTTGCTGGCCATTCTTACCTTTCCTACTCCCCAGCCTGAACAACATGGGGAAACCCTGCCTCTACTAAAAATTTAAAAAATTAGCTGGGTGTGTCTGGACGCGGTGGCTCATGCCTCTCATCCCAGCACTTTGGGAGGCTGAGGCAGGTGGATCATGAAGTCAGGAGATCTAGACCATCCTGGCTAACACGGTGAAACCCTGTCTCTACTAAAAATACAAAAACAATTAGCTGGGCATGGTGGTGGGTACCTGTAGTTCCAGCTACTCGGGAGGCTGAGGCAGGAAAGTGGTGTGAACCTGGGAGGTGGAGATGGCAGTGAGCCAAGATTGAACGCCACTGCACTCCAGCCTGGGCAACAAAGCGAGACTCCGTCTCAAAAAAAAAAAAAAAAAAGAAAAAAAGATTAGCCGGGTGTGGTGGCACATGCCTGTAATCCCAGCTACTCGGGAGGCTGAAGCAGGAGAATAGCTTGAACCCGGGAGGTGGAGGTTGCAGTGAGCCGAGATAGTGCTATTGCACTCCAGCCTGAGCAACAAGAGCAAAACTGTCTCAAAAAAAAAAAAAAAAAAAAAAAAAAACGGGTGTGGTGGCACATGCCCGTAATCCCAGCTACCCGGGAGGCTGGGCGCAGGAGAATAGCTTTCAGAACTCCGGGAGGTGGAGGTTGCAGGAGCTGAGATAGTGCGGCTGTACCCAGCCTGAGTAACAGAGCAAATTGCTCAAAAAAAAAAAAAAAAAAAAAAAAAAGATTATTAAGAAGATGCAGGCCGGGCACAGTAAAATCTCAGCACTTTGGGAGGCCAAGGTGGGAGGATTGCTTCAGCCCAGGAGTTCAAGACCAGCCTATGCAATATCGTGAGACTTGGCCGGGCACGGTGGCTCACGCCTGTAATCCCAGCACTTTGGGAGGCCGAGATGGGCGGATCACGAGGTCAGGAGATCGAGACCATCCTGACTAACACGGTGAAACCCCGTCTCTACTAAAAATACAAAAATTAGCCGGGCGCGGTGGCGGGCGTCTATAGTCCCAGCCACACAGGAGGCTGAGGCAGGAGAATGGCGTGAACGCGGGAGGCGGAGCTTGCAGTGAGTGGAGATTGCGCCACCGCACTCCAGCCTGGGTGACAGAGCGAGACTCCGTCTCAAAAAAAACAAAAACAAAACAAAAACAAACAAAAAAAAGCAATATCGTGAGACTCATCTCTATATTTAAAATAAAAGAAAAAAGAAAGAGAGGATGTAGTGAAATAAGATCAGAGCCTGTGCCAGAAGAGTTGTCAGCCAGTCACTCCCCTCCCTTCCCACCCCTCATTGTCCCCTGCGTCACCTACCCCCTGCATGTGGGGCCTACACTTCGAGCCTGGAGGACGCCTACAATGACAAAAGGAAAGGCTTGTAGTGGGCAGAGGGCATAGAGTCAGAGCACACAGACCCAGAGGGTGGCTTCCTCTGCCTGGCCTGTTACCCCTCCACCTCCCACATACATACCAGCAGCCCCTGGGCAGGGAGGGGCAGGGCACCAGCAGCTCCAGATAGGGAAGGTCCTTGAACTCATCCTCTCCGACAGCCACATAGTAATGGCCAGTTACCAGCTCCTCCCGTGCTGACAGTGGGAGCCCCTCCAGGGTGCAGAGTCTGGGAGAGAGAGGTAAGCAGGATAAGGGCTGGTGGACTCGATGCTTCTTCACATTCAGCAGACTGAGGGGGTGGATGCAGCTATTCCAAGGTGCCCACTGGCCTCTGGGCACCAGTCACCCAGGCTCTACCCTGCCTCTGAAAGCTGGGCAGAGGGCCCTCTCCCAGTGGCATAGGGGGAAGTCCCATGTTGGGGAATGTGCTTTCCTTTTGCCTCTTCATCCTCAGCCACAGCTGAAGCCAGTGGGGAGGCTCTCTTTGGGGACTTTTGGGCCCTCCCAGTCCCCATACTCACTTGCACACAGCCCCACTCTGCAACTTGACCTTCTCAGTCAGGAGCTTCAACACAGTTTCCCAGTCCTGGCTGGCAGCCTGGGACAGCTTCAGACTAAATGGGGGACTTACCAGGTCCCCATTCCTGAACACACTGAGACAAAAAGCCTGGTAAGGGGGAATGTCCCCAGGAGTCCCTACATGTGAGGCAAAGGGTGGCACAGGGCCAGCAATAACCATAACACTGGTCTCTTTTCACCCATCAAGCATGCTGGACTCCTGTATTCCCAACAGTAGCCAAAGGCTCCTGGAACAAACTCAACACCATTTTCTTGGTCTCACGAAAACAAAAATTGACGCCCTTGCTCCCCAACACTGGCACTCACTGAATATAGCAGGGAGCACCTGCAGGTAGCCACCGTCCAATGGCCCCATCACACAAGTGGCGAGTCACGGGAGGACCCTGAAACCCAAATCAGGAGAGTCAGGGCCTTTGGTTAGGGGTGGGTCCGTCCAAGGTGTGGAGTGAGGGGGCCGGAATCAGATGGGGGCAAGGAGGAATAAGACAGGTCACACCTTTCACCAAAAGGTGCTTCGATGTTCCCTAAGTCACATTCTAACCACCCCCTCCCCTAATCTGTGTTTCACAGCTTCCTCTTTCCTTTGGGGACCTCATTGTGGAGATAAAGGCTGGGACAGAAGAAATAGTGTCTTGAAGTCCCACACCCCAGGAAGGATAGTAGCTGGCTCCAAAGTACCCCCCATGGAACTGGCAGATCCTGCTGCTTCCCTGACTTCCCAGACCAAATTGGGGGCAGTTCTAGGAGGAGTGGGAAGACAGGGGCTGGGGCACAGGTTCCCCCGGACTCACTTGTAGTCTGCAGCTCTTCCCACCTGGATCCTTCCCGCCATGAGGTGAATAGCTGAAAGGGCAGATAGGTCACAGGTCATCTCGTGGAGCCTGAGGCCTCAATAGCCTGGCAGATGTCAGTGTTAGGTTGGGGCACAGCTCACCAGATACCCCTCCCCATGGAATAGTGGCAGTCATCTCAGTCCAGTAACAGATATTGGCACTTGAACCTGCCCTGGGACTCCCTGAGTGTTCAAATGTTGGCTGGGTAAGTGCTGGGTAAGTCTGGAAATCCAGACTGGGGTCTCAATACTAACCGTGAGATTAAAGGTCAAGAGGGCTGGGCATGGTGGCTCACACCTGTAATCCCAGCTCTTTGGGAGGCTGAGACAGGAGGATCACTTGAGCCCAGGAGTTTGAGACCAGCCTGGACAACCTCATTGCTAACAAAAACAAAACCAAAAATTAGCCAGGCATGGTGGCATGCACGTGTGGCCCCAGCTACTTGGGAGGCTGAGGCAGGAGGATTGGAGTTCGAGGCTGCAGTGAGCCATGATCACGCCACTGCACTGCACTCCAGCCTGGGTGACAGAGCAAGACCCTATCTCAAAAAAAAAAAAAAAAAAAAAAGTCAACAGAAACTAGAAACTGGTGCATTATGCATCCTGCTATATCCTAAGAATGTTCTCATTCATTCATGAGATAGGTTGTTTTATCTCCATTTTGTATGAGACTTCAAGAAATTAAGTGACTTGCCTAAAGTCATACAAGGAATGAAGCCTAGATTCTAAGTCTACCTAGCTTCCCTCCTCCGGCCTTTTATTTTTTCTTTTGACACAGAGTCTTACTCTGTCCCCCAGGCTGGAGTACAGTGGTGCGATCTCAGCTCACTGCAACCTCTGCCTCCTGGGTTCAAGTGATTCTCCTGCCTCAGCCTCCTGAGTAGCTGTGATTACAGGTATGTGCTACCAGGCCTGGCTATTTTTTTTTTTTTTTGAAATGGAGTTTCACTCTTGTTGCCCAGGCTGGAGTGCAGTGGCGCAATCTTGGCTCTGCAACCTCTGCCTCCCGGGTTCAAGCGATTCTCCTGCCTCAGCCTCCCGAGCAGCTGGATTACAGGCATGTACCACCACGCCTGGCTAATTTTGTATTTTTAGTAGAGATGGGGTTTCTCCATGTTGGTCAGGCTGGTCTTGAGGTCTTGACCTCAGGTGATCTGCCTGCCTTGGCCTCCCAAAGTGCTGGGATTACAGGCGTGAGCAACAGCGCCTGGCAAATTTTTATATTTTTAGTAGAGACAGAGTTTCACCATGTTGGCCAGGCTGGTCTCGAACTCCTGACCTCAGGTGCTACACCCACCTCGGCCTCCCAAAGTGTTAGGATTACAGGTGTGAGCCACCATGCCCAGCCGCTTCCCCCACTTGATCCTTACACTATAGTAAGCGACCTCAGCAGAGAGCTAAGCATAGGACCTGGAAGCCAGACGTGAGTCAGAGACTCAGGTACTCAAATTCTTCTCCCACCCTGGAAGACAGTCTTGTTCTGCCCTAGCCTAACAGGAGAGTCTGGGATGCCTAAGCACAGTGGGGAGGAATGGATGGGCGGATTTAGAGTGTTCAGTGATAGGGAGTCCAAGCAAGAAGAGCTTTTGGAAAAAGGGGCTCACCCTGTGGAGCAGTGGTCTTCCCACAGGCTGATCTTGGCTGTGATGGGCATAAACATTAGTAACACACAGAATTCTATTTGAATTTCAGTTCAGCTATTTGTTGTGTATTCTTTTTTTTTTTTTTTTTTTTTTTTTTTTGAGACGGAGTCTTGCTCTGTCGCCCAGGCTGGAGTGCAGTGGCGCGATCTCGGCTCACTGCAAGCTCCGCCCCCGGGTTCACGCCATTCTCCTGCCTCGGCCTCCCAAGTAGCTGGGACTACAGGCGCCCACCACCACGCCCAGCTAGTTTTTTGTATTTTTTTAGTAGAGACGGGGTTTCACGGTGTTAGCCAGGATGGTCTCGATCTCCTGACCTTGTGATCCGCCCGCCTCGGCCTCCCAAAGTGCTGGGATTACAGGCTTGAGCCACCGCGCCCGGCCTGTTGTGTATTCTTAGGCAGGTTTTCTGTGTGTTTTCCCTTTCTAATGGAGGCAAAACCACCCCCCACCCCCAACATAGACTTCAGTAAGTACCAGTAACATGCTGGTACATACATGGTAGGTACTGAATACACGCTCTTGCCATTACCTCCCTTGCTAGGCTCTTTGAACAGCCCCAGCCCACTCACTGGAGCTTGTAGAATCGTTCAAATCCAGCGGCCACATACTGCCCTCTGTTCTTCAAGTCTGCCAGGCTGGTGACAGGGTGACCATGACAAGGTGTGTAGAGGGCACGCACAGCCAGCGGGGCCTGCACAGCTGATGTCACCTCGCGGAGGAAAGCCTCCATGGTGGGGAAGCGACGTTGACTCACCACCAGCTGGGAGCCTGGGAAGAAGGGGTCTCCATTCCGGTACACCACTACCCTCTTGGCTGCTGGACTGCCACCTGCCATAGTGTATCCTCAGTCAGAGACACAGAGCTGTTGCCAGGCAACCAAGGGCTGGGAACATTGCCAATCAGAGGTGGAGTCCTGCCCTCTCACCCATGAAGGCAGAGGGAGACTGTGGCAAGAGCATTTATCTGCATTCAGGGTTTGATCCAATCTGCCCTGGGGAGATCATACTTAAACATAGGTGTTACCTTACTCTCCAGAGCCTCCTTGCCACTCTAAAGCACAAGGCTGAGTTCAATGGGGGATCAGCTTTGGGAGCTGTTCCCTAAGGAGGATGGCTAGATCTGTTCCTGGGCCATGGCTCCCAGCTGGCTCCAGGGTCAATGCCCCATGCCACCAGGAAGTGAGCAGCAGGGCCCAGAGTCTGTCCTGGCCAGAAGCAGAAGATGAAAGCAGCCAGGCTCAGAATCTAAGAAAAACCTTTATTCCCAACAGGTCTCCCATTCCACTTCCCCTAGGTAACTCCTTAGCCACAAATTTGTTTTGTTTTTTTGAGACCATGTCTCGCTCTGTCGCCCAGGCTGGAGTGCAGTGGCATCATCTTGGCTCACTGCAACCTCTGCCTTCTGGGTTCAAGCGATTCTCCTGCCTCAGCCTCCCGAGTAGCTGGGACTACAAGCATGCGCCACCACACCCGGCTAATTTTTGTATTTTTAGTTGAGATGGGGTTTCATTTCACCATGTTGGTCAGGCTGGTCTCAAACTCCTGACCTCAGGTGATCCACTCGCCTTGGCCTCCCAAAGTGCTGGGATTACAGGCATGAGTCACTGCGCCCGGCCCCTTATCAATAAATTTGGATTGAGCCACAGGCATTGCAAGCGTGTCCTTCCTGCTTCCCTATACTCATGCCAGCTCTCTACTCCAGCTTCTCTTGGTCCCACTAGCCACCAATGACCAGGGGCAGGAGCAGGAGGCAGAGCTGGTCAGGGAGGTAGGATGAGGTCTTGTCTCACTGCCCTTTCATAGCATTTCCCTTTGGAACTTGATCCTCTCCTGGCTTCAGGGTCTAGCCAGGTGGTCCTGTTTTCCATGGCCTGCCCCTCCACTGTTCCTCTCCTGTACAGCCTGCCCCTGTAGAAGACAGGATCTCAGGTGACTTTGATCTCCATGGTGTAGTCCTCTGGTTTTTTTGTCCTTCGTGACTAGGCTCATAGGAGGTTCCATCTCTGGAGCTTCTATCAGTGGGGATCTGGCCTTTGGGTGGTTTAGTCCTCCAGAGATCGAGGACACTATGCTCTGGCCCTGCCAAGGTCCCATCCCAGATGATGTGGTCCCCTGAGAGGCCCAACTCTTGTGTCCTGGGTGTTTGGCAGTCAGGCTCTTTGTGATCTAGTTTTCTGGGAGACGTCTCCTTAATATTTGGGTCCTCATAGAGTGCAGACAGCTGTGTCCTGGATTTCCTGGGACAATGGTCCCTAGGTTTTAAGCCTCTGGGAATCTGGTCCTCCAGGATTTTCATCTGTAGCAGGCAGGTCCCTCCAAAGGTCTGTCTTCCATCATCTGGCCCTTTGGTGAGCCTGTCCCCCAAGGCCTGGCTGTTTGATGGGGGTCCAGACCGGCTGTAGCATGGTTCTCTGCACTTAGCCCCAGCAATGTTTTTTTGTGTAGTGGCCAAACATCCTGGGGATCTGTGGGCTGATTTGACCCTCTGACAGGAGTCATTCTCCTGTTCTCGCTCTCCAGTGGTCCTGTCTCTGTAGGACTGGTCCTCCAGTGGTGGCTCTCCAGCGGTCCTGTCTCTGTAGGACTGGTCCTCCAGTGGTGCGCTCGGTTGCGACTGGTTCCTCTCACAGGTCTGCTCCCCATGTTCTGGGCACACACCGGGCTCCTCTCTGATCGGGCCTGCCTCTGGGAATCTCAGTGTTTGTTTGAGAATTAGGTACTGTTGGGGGAGAGAACATACATTGTACCAAGTAGGCCTGCTTGGGCATGGCAGGAGGTCTCTCCCGAACCCCCACCCTTGACCCTAAATGTTCTGAAAGAGTTCCAGGTTAGTGTTACCTCTTTACGGCTATTGATGGCCTGTTGCAGCCACAGCAATTCCATGGCCAAGTGGCTGCAGTGGTACTGAAGTTCTTGAAGCTGAGGTTGGCTGTGGGGCAGTCTTGGATCTGTGGCTTCTGTGAAGGAGGGAAGAAAGGAAGGAGAAAACCTTGAGGGAGCAGACCCTGGGAAATGGCCTAGCCTTAGACTTTGGAAACTCCTTTCCCACCACTGCCCAACCATGTGATGGCCCTATTCCGGCAGAGGGAAGACGGGAAAGGGATGCAGCTTATCTAGCGCTAGCCTTTCGCTCTTCAGATGGGGAGGCTGAGGCACAGTGAGGGTCAGGGGCTTGCCCTGATCTTGGCAGAGAGGTACCTGGATTCTCCATCCTTGTCATGTCTCTGGTCTCCTCTTGGCTGGGTTTCCTGTTCTGCTCCATCTGAAGCCAGGAGCTGTGATGTCTGCAGACGCTTCTTTGATTTGCTGAGCTCTCTCCTGACTTCTTCAGCACCATCTCCTCCCAGGTGGCCTCTCCCTCAGACTCTTTACATGGGAAGTGGTTCCACAGCCCCTGCTCTGGATTTGCTACCCTGTCTCCTGCTTTCCAGGTCTGATGGGATTTTGCCTTCTGAGAAACAAGAGAGATGTGACAGCCCTAGGGTTAAACCCTTTCAAGTATCTGGGCACCACGATCTAGCAGACAAGTTGCTGAGGGTTAAGGAGTGGGGTGTGAGGAGGTGGGTCTACTGCCTCTTCCAGTGAGAAAAGCTTGTCACCGGGACAAGGTGGGTTCCACCCTGCCCAAGTCCCTCCTTCCCTTCTCTCCTAGGTGTGATCTACCTCTGGGAGGAATCGCGGCCTGGGAATGCGGCCCTCGGTCCACTGAAGCGTGCCCAGGTCGCCCTCGACCTCCCGTACAATCGCCTCATACTCAGCTCGCAGGCTCTGGAACTGGCGTCGGACCAAGAAGCCCCGGACGCAGGCCTGGTATGGAGAATGAGAGGAAAGAAGTCTCTTATCACGGTAAGAGAGGGGGCATCTCGGAGGACTGTCCTGGAGAGGTCGTCCCGGCGAATGCAAGAGGCGACCCGATGGCGGGGAAAGGATAGGTGGGCTGTGCGCTGGGACTCCGAGGGGCTCGAGGGAGAATGCCGGACTGGATGTCCCTCCTCGCCTTAAGGCTCTTCCCGTTTCCCTGATCCCGCACAAGCATGTGGTGGGAGTGGGGGCGCGCAGGGCAGGGAGTCCGTGGGTCCCAGCTTTCCTCAGCGCGGTTGGGGACAGCCGGTATCTCCAGAGGTTGGCGCGCGGTTAGGGGACTGAACGTGGCAGCATCTCGCTGGGAGGTCCAGGTACGAGACCCCATGATTTCCCTAAGGGAAAAATCCTGTGCACCCCGCACCCGCCCTCGCACCTGCAATGCCGACACCTTCCGAACCAGCAGCTTTTCCTCCATGGGACCCAACGGCCCTGCGGCCTGCGCGCCTGCGAAGTGCGTCATTAGTCGGCGTCGTTCCTGAGCATGCGCGGGCGTGGGCCCCGCCCCCGCCGTCCCCACGGCAACCTCCTCCAGTCCAGGGTAGAGGCGTCCTCGCGACAGGCGCACCTGCGTCGCCCCAGCCCTCGACTCCCCCTCCCACAGTCGCCATGTGCACTTGAAGGTACGCGGCGCTGGGCTGTCTCCGCGGAGGCCGGGAGGAAAGGCGCAAGGAGGGGAAGCAGGACACGGAGCCGCTTGCTTTCTTTCTGGTTTAATTCCATCCAACGCCCCCCTCCCCCATAGCACCTGGGGGGCCGCGGAACACCCGCCCGAGTCCGTAAAAAGTCACAGTTTGAAGAGAATGAGAGGGGCAGTGTGGGCCTGCGTGGGACACCTACGCAGCAGACTGCTCCTCAGGCTCGGCGTTCTCGGCCAGGTGCAGCTTCTGGCTGTGCCCGTCAAGGATCGTGGCGCTTTGAACCAGTCCTTCCTCCCACCCTGGTCTCCCATCCTGCAAAGGCTTAGTTCCTTCACCTGTGCAAAGGTCCGGGGACGAGGGTCTCAGCCGTCTGTGGACTGAGGTTGCAGTCCCCGCCTGCCCTCTCTCACCCCCTCTCTCTTCATCCAGATCGTGCAGGTCAGACACACAGGTGTGCGCGCATGCACTCGCGCTCTGTTCTGACTGAGGACCAGGTGAGGTGGTAGTGTAAATTAGTAAAAATAATTGTTAAATGCTGAAAGGATAGGAGGACATCACAAGCTTTGCCATGACTGGTATCAGCTAAAGTACTCACAAAGATTTTGATCAGTAGTAAAACATCCCCTGCAACCACTTCTCTTCTAATTTTGGGGAAATTCTAAATTCCTGTACCTGGGTTCGGGCAGTCTGTGGCTAAATCTGACAGGACTGCAAGAGGTGGGGAAGTTGGTTATGTGCGAATACTCCTGGAGGGCTGGGGAGGAGGAAACTGACCTCTCAGGAACACACACACACAGACGGGTTCCTTGGAAAGGATACATCGAATTACTTAGGTCTTCCAGCTATCAACAAAGAGAAAAAGGGAGGCTTCTGTTAGGAGGGGAACCAGGCCAAATCCCCAATGCTCTGGGGGCTATCTTCTGGGGAGGCTGAGGGGCCCAGAGCTCTTGGATCCATGCACTCCCACCTTTTCACCCAGGGCCCAGGAATGGCTTTGGGAGTATGTACCTTCTCCACCCCTGGTGCCCCCAGGAACCAAAGCACCCAGACATGAACCTACATTGCTAAGCAGCTGGTCCAGGTTACGGTCAGCCATCGTCTTCTTCTGCTCCTCTGGCAGCCCCTCAGTGACCCCATCCTCTTCCTCTTCATCATCCTCCTCCTCGCCACACACATCCAGGCTGAAGTGCAGCCGGGCCAGCTTCTCCTGCATCTCCCGAACGTGCTCCAGCTGCTCAAAGGAGCATTCCTTCCCTGGAATGAAGCCCCTGGCTGAACCCTGGGAAAGATTCCTGGAACCCTGGAACCCTGAAATCCTGGTCCCAGCCATGCCCCATCGACTGGGCCCTCCAGCCCTATCCACAGACCCGCTGACACCAGCCCCCAGGACTCACCGAAGGCCTGCAGCCGGCCCGAGTGGAAATCATTGAGCAGGTTCAGGAGTCCCCCCTCCATCTCATAGACATCGGTCACCTCAGTCAGAAAGGAGTGCTGCAGGGGCGTGCCTGCAGAGCCGCTTCCACCTCCAGCCAGGACTGGGCGGCACTTCTCCTTGCCTACTCTGGATGGGGTGGACATGACCATGATCACAGGGTGGGGGACAGTCAGGCACCTCCAGGCCTTTTGTGCCATCTACCTATGCACTAATTTATCTGCCCATCTGCACTAACTCATCTGCCCATCTACTCACTAGCATAAATGGATAAGTTTATGGTTCTCCCTTGGGCACTGGGAAGGGGTGAGGAGGTGTGAAGAGGTCAAAAAGAAGTCTTTTCTGCTAATAACACAGCCAGAGCAGTGCCTGAAAGGGGGTCCCTGGGTTCCTGTCTGAGTGCCTCACTCCTTTGTTCTATGACCCTGAGGCAGTCACTTATCCTCCCTAGTCTTCAGTGTATGTAGAGACAGCTACTCCCTTATTGTCACCAGGGCTATCTTACCTCCTACCAAAATATCTTTCTGTCCCTCTTCTTTTTTTTTGTTTTTTTGAGACAGAGTCTCTGTTGCCCAGGCTGGAGTGCAGTGGCACGATCTCGGCTCACTGCAACCTCGCCCCCTGGGTTCAAGCAATTCTCTTGCCTCGGCCTCCCGAGTAGCTGGGATTATAGGCGCCAGCCACTACGCCCTGCTAATTTTTTTTATTTTTAGTAGAGATGGGGTTTCACCATGTTGGCCAGGCTGGTCTCGAACTCCTGACCTCAGGTCATCCACCTGCCTCGGCCTCCCTGAGTGCTAGGATTACAGGTGTGAGCCACCACCCCCAGCCCTCTTCTTTTTTTTTAAATTAAATTTTGTTTGTTTGTTTGTTTGAGACAGAGTCTCAGTGTCACACAGGCTGGAGTGCAATGGCACAATCGTGGTTCACTGCAACCTCTGCCTTCCGGGTTCAAGCGATTCTCATGCCTCAGCCTCCTGAGTAGATGGGATTATAGGTGCCCACCACCACGCCCTGCTAATTTTTGTATTTTTAATAGAGACGAAGTTTTACCATGTTGACCAAGCTGGTCTCAAACTCCTGACCTCAGGTGATCTGCCTGCCTCAGCCTCCCCAAGTGCTGGGATTACAGGCGTGAGCCACCATGCCCAGTCAACCCTCTTCTATTTAAAAACTATTTTAAACAAAAACAAAAATACATAGAAAACAAGCCAAACCAATAAACCGAAAAAACTGTCTTAAAATTTCCACTGCTCTCAGGATAAAATTGAATGCCCCTGCCAGTCTGGCCCTCATGCCTTCCCAGTTGCCTTTCCTGCTACTCTCCCCACAGCCTTGAGCTTCATGCCTCTTAGGCAACACAGGGAAACACAGTGGTCTTATTTGGAACAACTGGAGAAACAATACATTGTATTTAGTGGGGAACAAACACGGACACATTATAAGGCAGCATGCAAACTCCCAATCATAAAAGAAAATTCAACAGATAATTCAAATTGTGCCCCCAGGTATTCCCTCACCATTTCCTGTCTCCTGATACTCCAGGGCCCCCAAACCACCTGTGGTTCCTGAAACCTTTCAGGTAATGGCTTTCTTCCATATTTATACTAGGTAAGCCTCTCAGCGTGGAACATTCACTTTCTGGCAGAATTGCTCACTCCCTCCTCTGAGGCGCATCCTCACGCTATGTGATCCCAGGGACCCACCTGGCCCTTTTGCCACACAGCTGAGGGTAGGGACTGGGTCTGAGTGAGCTCTTAGTGCTCAGGGGCCTGCTCCAGAAAGCCATCAAGTATTGCTTAGGAACTAAAGGCAGAGGCCCCCCTTGCCTTCCTCTCTACAGTGCAACCCAGAGTTGGGGTCCCTTCTTCTCTGCTTCCCTTCTGTACCCACCTCTTGAACTTGGCCCGCTGCTTGGGGGATGGCAGATGAGGAAGTCCTAGGGCCAAGGAACCGCTGTGGCTGGTAGGCACAGGGACCCTGCGTAGTGTGCCTGGGGCCTGGGCTGGCTGGGCCAGGCAGGGCTTGGGACTCCGTTTCTTCTTTTTGTCATCCATTGGGCGCTGGCTGGGCCTCAGGCCTAGGAGGAAAGCAACCCCACAAAGATAGCCAGGGGCAGAGTTAGCCCTTTACCCAGAAATCCCTGAGAACTGCACCAGGGAAGGGACCTGGCACCTTCCAGCTTGTCCCCTCATCTGTACAGTAGGGGCAGAGCCAGATGCCAGTGGCTGCTGCTGGGATCGTGTACACTTGAAGGACCTTCTAAGGCCCACCCTAATTCCCCCTAAGCCTGAAAATCTAGGCCCCTCCTGAAAGGGTGGGACCAGACACAATTATCTTGGCGCTACTGGGGCTTCCTGTCCCCGTGGCTGGGGGGCGGGGCTGGCAGAGGAAATGTAGTGGGAGACAGGACAGAGGTGAGCTGCAGATTAGGAGTGTCTTAACTAAGCCCCATTCTATTTATTAGTGGCCTAAGCAGATGCTGACAAACCCTGTCAGCATGGGAGGGGGACAAGGTGCGGGCGGGGGCATCTGGGAAGGCCCCAGAGTCTGGGGTAGTTGTAGGAGAAGCCGCGGCACACAGCGCAGGGTTCATTGTGGGTTTCCCCCACATAGACACCGGCATCCCTCCTTTTCCACCCACCACCAACCGAAAACATGAGGGACTCCCAGAAGTTCCCCCGGGTGTGCTTCCAGCTGCTTCATTTTTCCCGGTCGGAAAGTCCCTGCTGGGCTTCAGCTGCAGCCAGGGTGGGCTGGGTGGTCGGCCCCTGGCTGCCTGGGCCTCCGACAAAGGCTGTGCCTGTAGCTGGGCTGCTCCGCGGTCCCCGGTCCAGCCCCGCCCCCCAAGCCTCTGGTCGGCTGGGGTCCCCTCCTCTGGGGGTCTCACTCCAGGCTGCTGCTACCAAGCCTAACTCCGAATTCTGGGACTGGGGGTGGCGGTGGGGATGGATGGCGCTTAAGCATTTACACTGGCACATAGCTGGCTGGCACCGACGGGGTCTGCGGGTGTGGGGACGGGAGACAGGAGCGCATCCTTTGCCTCTCCCTGCAGCAGCTTGACCCAATTAGGGACTTGATAGAAGAACTGGAGCCGGAGCCCGTGCTCCCCAGGAGCGGCTCGGGCGACCGGGGATCTATTTCCCACGCCCGGGCTCCAAAGCCATGTGCCAAACTCATCGCTCAGCTCCGGAGCCGCGCTCGAAGACGGAGCGTCAGACCCGCGTCATTCCGCCCCCGCCCTCACTCTCTCAGGGGGGTACTGACCTGGAGGTTTGGGGTCTCAAGGATGCTTCGGTGCAAGGTCCCTCCGCCCTCCGCCCTCTCCTCCCAGGAACACCACCGGGTGAAAGCTAAGCTGGAGGGAGTTCATTTGCATTTAAAGAGAAAGTGACCTTCTCCTTAGCTCGGAGGGGTGAGAAGGGAGGAGCATCCCCGCGTCTGCTAAGCAGTTCCTCTCACTCGACCTCACCTCCCCGCCTGAACCCTGGGGACCCTGTTAGTTGTGTGATGGCTATTTTAAAAAGATTTTCCCTTTCCCGGCAGTTTCAGAGAGAAGCTACAGTTCCTTACAAAATGGTGGTGGCTTTGTCAGAAAGTGGGTGGGGCGGGGGAGAGGAGAGACAGAGAGAGAGAGAGAGAGAGAGAGAATGTAAGCATAGAAAAAGCACAAGCAGCAACAGCAGCAGCATCAGGAAGACACTTCGAGCAAAGACAGCCATCAATGGAGTGAGTCCAGTGCCCTGTTGAGCACTTTACGTACATTTCATCCCTAAAACAACCCTTAAGGAAGATATCAGTGTCATTCCCCATTCTACTGAAAGTAAGCAACAGTCTTTTGAAGGCAAACCCCCTCTCCCTACAATGCCAGACAGTTTTCTCTGGTGGGGGCTGTATTTTGCTGCAGATGAAGTGACAAGAGTCCTCCCCACCCTCCAGGCCCTGGAGACAGGTGTGGGGAGCACCAGGTCACAGGGAAGACCACGCGATTCCCTGGCACTTGACTCCAGTCCTCAGGGAAACCTGAGCGCTTGATGGAGGCTGACCCAGTGTGGCTTCTGCTGCCTGCAGCCGGATCAATGGGGGCAGCTATTTAAAGCCCTGGCAGAGGCTCCTGGCGCAGGTCCCCAGAGCAGCATCTGATGCAACAGGAGAGAGGCTCATGTTTGGCTAGGCGGCTCAGCAGGCTCAAGTGAGCTGGCCCAGGGCAGTGCACACGGCCACCCAGCCCACCTTCCCCATCCCTGGGCAGGAGTGGCTTCCTGGGGTTGGGCCTCTGGCTGATGTGGGGAGCCATGGGCACTGCTCCTGAGGGCACCTGCTCAGGGCTTCTTCCTGGGTACTCCCAACACTCAGACCACTCCACGAGGGGAGAGAGTAATTCTGAACTTTTTCAATAACCAGGGGGCCAGACTGGGGACAACGGAAATCCCTCTCCTTCCCACCGGAGCTGCTAGAGTAATGGTAATGGTAATGCTGCTGGCAGAGGGAGCACTCCTCTGGTTCCCATCCTCAGCTGCTTCACTGGGGGGTCAGAAACCTCCTTATCAGAGCTGCTTTGCTTGGAATCTCCAAGAGTTGGGGCGGCACCCGCCTAACCCTCCAGAGGATCTGCGACTGGAAATAACATGGCCAGCACAGAAAACATGTATCAGGACCCAGCTAGAAGGGTCAGAGGCTCTGCTGGGACTGTCACAGCCAGTGTGGACAGATCTATTTATGGACGCCTGGAGGGAAGGGCATGTGGGTTGTCTCTGCCATTTCCTGGGCATTCAGCACATATCATCCTTTGTGCCAGACCAACCCAGGACCCAGAGAGAACAGGGTGCTGGGTGAGGCCACCAGCAGAATATCTCCCATATAGGAGTCCCAGGCTTGAGGTGGGTAAATGAGGGGTGTAAAAACTGAACAAAGAATGTGCTCTCCTTAAGGAATGCATACAATTAAGAGGCCCCTGTGCATTCCTTTGGGCAGGCCAGGGCTATAGGAGCCTACCCATAGCACAGACCCAAATAGCAGTGATGAGTGTCCACCCCTCTTAACCTGGGCCTCAACTGGCCTATGGCTGGCTCCATGCCTTTTGCTTTACTCCTGGAGCCTATCAATTTCCTACTGAAACACCTTCAGTTGCTACCCACATCCCCCACCCTCTGGGTCTAGCCCACATTCCTTAACCTGGTACCCAGACTCTGGGCCCAGCCTCACCCCTTCTCCCCGTCCCATGCACCTGCTTCCCAGCTATACCATTTCATCACTAAATGACATTCATCTCCCTGCGCTTTGGTCAGGCCATTCCAGGTATCACCCCCTCCCCTTGCTGAAGGAGGCAGGGGCCTCCTCTCTGCTCTCAACACCATTGACCTGTCTATACCTAAAAGTACCTTTTCCCTTCACTAGCCTGTGAGCCCCCAGATCAGGGAAAACTTTCGTGTGTGTGATCCTCTCTGATGCAAGAGTCCTGCCAACTTTACCCAAAGGCTCCACTCAGGCAGCTCAAGTGAATGCGCCAGTCCTGAGGCTGTGGCGACTGCTTGAAGGCACTGTGGAACATGCAAGATACCAGGGCACCACCATGGCCACTCTGCAGCAGAACCGGACAAGTCAGTGATGATGGAAGGGGCTGAATGGATCGGATCCAGAGGCATCAAAGGAACACACAGGTCAGGAGAGAAAAAAGTAAGGCAACAGACTCTTTATTTAATGTGGTTTAAAATACATCAAAATGAAGTCCCTGGCTGTTGTGAATACCAAAAGGAGACAAAAAAGCTGCCAGTGCAGCTTCAAACAAGTCTGAGTGGCCGGGCTGGGCCATAAGGTAAGCAGTTACAGGGACAGAAGGCAGCCCCCTTCCCCCAAGAAGGGTAAGAGGAGCAGGTGCCTGGCTGTCCTTGGGGTGACCACCTCTGTGCTCTGCAAGATGGAAGGGCTGGGGCAGCAGCTGGAGAATCAGCTCAGCAGGCCTTGGCCCTCCCCCGTGGACACCAGGCAGCTCCACTGGCCTCCGGGTCAGCCCTCAGGGCCGCCATGATGGGGTGGAGGAGGGTTAAATAACCATCTTTACAGAAATAACATTCTCCTACAGAAAGTGCCTGACCTCAGCCCATGGTCCAAAAACCTCATGGAAAACAAACAACAAATTAAAAAAAAAAGTGCTGCTGACACCTCTCAGAATCTGATGGACATGAAGCTCTCAGCTGGACAAGGCCCTGAAAACAACTTACTGTTAGCAGAGCCATTGGCTCTGAGCTTCACCTGCTGTGGTCCCCTGGAGGAAAAGCTAGCAATCTAAGAAACCAACACAGCTCTTGGTCCTAAAACTGAGGTCACAAGTGTGGGACCCACCCGGCTGAGGAAGGCACTGGCCTTCACTCATGGATAGGCACCTCCCCTGCATCTGGCCCAGGACCTGGGCTACTTTGGAAAGCAGAAGCAGAGCAGCTGTAGTGATTGGTTATGATTTGGTCAATGGAAAGGAAGAAAATGGTAGGGACCCACATCTGCAGACTGGCCTGAAGGTCTAGACATGGATGGAGCTGTGAGCAAAGGCTGCACCATGCCTGGGGCCCACATTCCTGACCTGGGAAACCCAGCTGGGGCCACTGCTCACGGTGGCTTCCCACACCACCACACTGGGATCCAGCAGCTCCAGTCCCTCCACGGGCTTTAAGAGGTAGCTGAAGTGAGTCAGGCAATTATGTGGGCCACTGTAGGCCTTTCCCCTCTCTTCAAGGGGGAAGGTGCATACCTCTGCCTCTTCCCTGCACCTCTCTTGCCTAGCAAACACTCTGTGGGGTTGGCTGCTCTTGTACCAGCTTAGCCTGGCACAGGGGCTGGGGTAGGGAAAAGGCCCTACTGGAGCAGGAAGAGGCAAGGACTACTCCAGATACAGGGATTCAAAGGGGAAGAAAAAGATCATGGGAAACACTTCACAGGACAGCAGTATCTCAGCCAGTGACGGCAAAGATCTCAACACTCACACAGCTGCTTGAGAGCACCTAGATGTGAAGGATATACCAGAGAATAGCAGGCAACTCTAATGCAGATCAGTGGTACCTGCCCTGGGGCAAGAGAAAGAGAAATGGTGTGCCATTCATTTACCATCTCTGGTATCAGTTACACATGATTCAGTACTTAACATTCTTTGTGAACCAATTTATCTGAGAGATTTAATGTAAGGGCTAAAAGAGTGGGCTAGGTATGGAAGATGAAGGGACCTGCAGGACAATGAACTAGCTTCAAAGAAAAACAGCAAGAAGCAAAGCCCTAACCATCCTATCTATCTTGGTCTGAGTCATTCTACTGTCCCAGAAAACTGCTTTGCACAAACACTGGCTAATACCCTGGCGAGTTTGCAACAGCAGAACATTCAGCATATAGAATGGCTCTACACAGTACATAGCAGTTATGTACTGGGGTAGGGGGAGAACAGGACACAGAAACAACTGTCTGCAGCCATTTTACAGATTTCTAGGGCCCAGTCAATAGTTCAACTTCATTTCTTACCTGTTAGACAACAGCTATGGGCTCCCACACAGGAAGAAGTGGAATCCCCAAGGACAGGCAGGGAGGTGCCAGGAAATGGAATCAGGACGAATCTTGAGGATTGCACGTGTGGGGGTGGGGGCAGGAAGCAGAAAAATCCATGAAGCCAAGGAGGCAGCTGGACCTGGGGCCCAGCAACTGCTGCACAGAGATAGTGCTGATGGGAACTGGTGGTGGCCTCTCAGGACTAAAACCCACAGGTAAGCTTGTGGCAAAGCCATCAGAAGCCCTTTCCTTTCTTTTACAACAAACAACCTGATCTCACCAAACAGGAAACCTCAGCACCAAGATGGCAAAGGAGCCAAGCGGGGTGGTGAAGGAGGTGGGACACTGGAGGCCAGGTACCCAGGCACCACTGCTACAGCACCCCTCTTCCTTGGAAGATCCTCAATACAAACACTGTCATGTGCAAAAAAAAAAAAAGAAAAAGAAAAAGAAAAAAAGACCTTCAGAAATAATCCTTTGGGTGATCTCTTGTCAATCATTTGTGCAGGCTAGAGAGGCACCTGTGAATGATAAGGCTACTGAGAAGCATCATTGGCCTGGTCCTGGCACTACCAAAGGGCAGGGGAAGTGATGCCCAAGGGGTTCCTGACCAGCACATCGTCCCACACAGAAACATTCTCCAGGTCCCTTATCCTAGGCAGGAAATCACCAGCTCTGAGCGCCCTGCCAGGTTTCTGCCTAGGGACACCTTTTCCAGGTCTAGAGAATCAAAGGAGCCTCCAGAGCAGCTAGGAGGGCCTGAGCTGCCCAAGCAAGCCCTACTCACAAGAGAAATGCAGTCAAGACCTGGGTGTATCACTTGTCTTGAGCTCTGAAGGGCAGGGAGGGGTCTGAGCCTCAAGTCAGGCAAATAAATGCTCAAGTCACTTGTCCTGCCAACTCACTGTGAAGGCAGCTACAGATGACAGCCCCTCTCAAGACTCTTCAGCTGACAGAGGAGACACTGACTTCATCTGTACACACCCCCATCCCCAATGCAAGCCCACTGTACACTTATAGGTATAAATGCATGAGACCTTGCAATATGCCATATGTACGTAAAACTGACCCACAAAATCCAAAATTGCAAGTGTCAGATGCCAGCCAGGTCAGAACATCCTGGCTTCAGCAATGGGCTGCTCAGCATGGGAGCTTTTTATGGGCCAGGCCTGGCTGGGCTGCCGCTCCCTTCCCAGCATGCCCCAGCACCAGGCTCTCTAGGCTCTGGCAGAGGTGGGCTCTTGAGGCCCAGTCTGGCCTGATGCTTCTGTGCTCGGTGCTCCTGGGTAGCAAGGCGCTTCTGTGACCCTGGGGGAGCTGGGTGCTTGAGCCCCAGGCCCCTCTGGCCTCCTTTCAGGGCCACTGTCAGTGAGGGAGCCCTGGCCACCAGCACTCAGGTCCTGTACCCTCTTGTTCAGGTCATTGCGCTCTGTCTGCAGCGCCCGGCACAGCTTCTCCAGCCGTTGGATTTTTACCTGCAGGCCCTCCAGTTCTTTATCCCGGACTGTTTTCTAGGGAGAGAAATGAGACCTTCAGTGCCATGCCCCATCAACCTCCCACTTACCATCACTACTTGGTGACAAACACTTTAACAAGGCTGGGAGCAGACTGAGTCCAAAGCTGGCCCCCTCTAGGAAACAGTCCTGGTTGAAGCCATGACTGGACTGTCAGGTGGGGCAGTGTGGTACAGAAAAGGGGCATGGCTTGGAGATAACATATTCCTCCATTTATCTACCACATGACCTTGGCAAAGGACTTGGCTTTTGAGCCTATCTCATCTGTAAAACAGGACTACTAATACCATCCTCGGATCTCAAGAGAAAGTTCAATGAACCACGTACCTAAAAACATTCAGCAGCAAAAAAAAAAATAAAAAAAATAAAAAAAAAGACAAACCCAAAAACATTCAGCAAGGTCTGGCTTGTCGTTGCTGCTCCATCAGTGTTAGTTCCTTTCTTCTACATTACAAGCCATGAAATCACAAATTACCTGGGCGGTTTTTTTTTTTTTTTTTTTTTTTTTTTTTTTTTTTTGAGACGGAGTCTCGCTCTGTCGCCCAGTCTGGAGTGCAGTGGCCGGATCTCAGCTCACTGCAAGCTCCGCCTCCTGGGTTTACGCCATTCTCCTGCCTCAGCCTCCCAAGTAGCTGGGACTACAGGCGCCCGCCACCTCGCCCGGCTAGTTTTTTGTATTTTTTAGTAGAGACGGGGTTTCACCGTGTTAGCCAGGATGGTCTCGATCTCCTGACCTCGTGATCCACCCGTCTCGGCCTCCCAAAGTGCTGGGATTACAGGCTTGAGCCACCGCGCCCGGCCTACCTGGGCTGCTTTACATGTAAACCAGGCACATCACTGGCACCCCCGTTTTTTCTGCTCTTTTATTCCTTTCTTCCATTTGCTCCCTTCACTCCCACTGGAGACCTACCACTGGGCTCACCATCTCCCATGGGGAGAGAACAGCATTAACTTTGGACTTGGACAATGTGTGCAAATCTCACCTCTACCTCATGCTAGCTGTGTCACTGATGGGTAGAACACACAGGAAAGGGCCTGATATGCGCTAAGTGCACACCCCCACCCTGGCTGCAGATCACAGACAGCCCACCTCCTCAGCCATCTCAAGGAGGGCCTTGTTGCTGCTCTCCCACCGGGACCGGTACATGGTGGTTTCTTTCTCCAGCTTCTTGATCTTCTTAGTCATCTAGGTTATGTGACAGACAGAAGGAAATGGTCAGAGCTGGCCTCTCTGTGCACCTGTGTCTCCAAGGTGGGGACTGATTGATTACAGGGTGCAGTCAATGCCCTCTGTGCCACCTTACCACCAGAAGTCACAAGTGTCCACCACTAATAACAAGAAATGGTAAGGGGCCAGAATCCCAGCACTTTGGGAGGCCAGGGTGGGCGGATCACTTGAGGCCAAGAGTTCAAGACCAGCCTGGCCAACATGGTGAAACCCTGTCTCTACTAAAAATACAAAAAAAAAAAAAAAAAAAAAAAAAAAAAAAAAAAAAAAAAAGGCCAGGCATGGTGGCACGTGCCTGTAATTCCAGATACTCAGGAGGCTAAGGCAGGAGAATCACTTGAACACGGGGGACAAAGGCTGCAATGAGCTGAGATCGTGCCACTGCACTCCAGCCAGTGAAACAGGGCGAGACTCTATCTCAAAACAAACAAACAAAAGAAATGGCTGCCCCATTCCCCGGGACAACCTGGAGGGCATACACACCACTGATACTGCCTCGAGAGGGGAAAGGCTGTGAACTCTCCTAACAGCCCCACCCTTGAGACACCCCAGATGGGAGCTTCCTGAAGGCAAGCCCAACCATTTTGAATGAAGCAGCTTATGCTCCAGGAGCCATGCGTGGCCTGGACCACAGTTACCTTTTCCATCTCCTGCTTGAATGTGGTGAATACCTCGCTGCTTTTGGAAAGTGTGTTCTGGAACTCCTCAAACTTCTCTGTGTATAGAGCAAGCTGGGGGAGAAAGCAGCCCACAGATAAGATTGGGTTTCTCTGGGAGGCACTCTGGTCAACACACTCAGACCTGTCCTTGACTCTCTGACCCAGTAATTCTACTGAGATACTATTTTTCCTTAAAACAAAGCAAAGCTATATATTTGGAAGGATATAATCCAAAATGCTAAGCCTGGAAAGGAGGAGACTTAGGGTGACTTTTATTTTGCCTTTATGTTGATTTTCAAACTCTTCTGTTCCCACCTCCTCTAAAGCAATACAACATTTCTGAGCTACAAATGAAATCCTCTGAGCCCACCTAACTACCTGGTCACCACCATATAGGTACTGTGCAGGTCCGGAGAGAACAAAGGCTCAACCAAGGTCTCATAGCAGCCAGGACACAGCCAGTCCTAGAATGAGGGTCCCATTTCACTACCCCCAGGATGGGGCCCAGTGAGGGGACCTTGAAGGCACAGGGTCAGGTTATATGCTCTCACCTGTTGCTTCAGGTGGGTCTCTTGCTGCTTCATCAGCTCACACATCCTCTGGGACTCTACTGCCTCTTTCAGGAGCTATTTCCAAGACAGAACCCCAGATCCTGTCAGAAGCCCCCAGGGGCTATGTTTGGTTTTTAGCCACAAGCACCAGACCCACCAAGGTTTCCTGCTCTCAGACTGATACTCAAGGAATCTGTGCCTGGTCTGGCCAGACAACTTCTCCCATATAACCCGGCTATGAACTGAGCCACAGCCCAACCTGCCTCCTCCCACACCCCCACCCCAACCCTGGGGCCTAAGCCTCACAAAATCCTTCTCCCGTTGGTGCCGCTCTTCTGCCTCCTTTAGCATCTCCTGGGCCTGCTGGAGCTTGGCATCCACCAGCTGCTGTTGTAGGTCCTTGTGTTTGAAGACTTTGTCGATATGCTGCAGCAAAGATGGTGGGAGCCGTCAGCTTGTCAGGAGCTCCTTTTCTCAGGGTGGCCCCACAGCCAAAGATCAGGGTACTTTGCCCAGCCCCCCATCTCAATCTGATATGCTGGACTCCCATGTGTACCACACAACATGGGCCCCAAGTCTCTGGAAGGTCATCTTTCCAACCTCACCTCGTTTCTCTCCCAGTGAGTCAGACTTTGGTTTATGGATGGAATCTGCTCCCAAGAAGCCAAGCAATAAACACACTCAAATCTCTGACCCCAGGATTGATCACCTATGGGGCTGGAAGCCCTCACTTCTGTGTCCCTGATTATCTTGTAAATGGGAAGAATGGGCGAAAACAATGCTTCTAAGAACATAACAGCCTAGCTCAGTTGGCAAAGACTTGCCATATCTAGGCAAAGACTAGACATGTGCATCCCCAAGGAATGGCTGTCCTGCCTACTGGAGGAGCACTGGGGACTTATGTCAGGTGAGAGAGAAGGGATGGAGAGAAGGTGAAGGATTCAGGTACTACTTCAAAGGTAAAATCAACTGGACTTGCTGAAATAAGGGAAAATAACTCCAGTTTTTTGGATGGGGAAGGGAAGGAGCCTAGCAGGTAAGTCCAGTTTGGGAATGATGAGAGTGCTTGTTGTCTATCTGGGGAGGGCTGTAAATGCAAAGCAGCAGGGCCTGGTAGTCCTGCAACTCCTTCTCCACAGGTAATACTAAATCCTTTTCTGCCTTGGTGGGGAGAGAAAACGGGGGTATTCAGATTCTTGAAGTTCGTGTCTCACTATAGTGGCCCAGGAAGCCTCTATGTCTCAGTGCTGAGGGATAAGAACCAAACCAACTCCCCTCAAACCAAACAAGCTGCTTTGTTCCCAGAGGATGAAGTCCAGCAAGAAAAGGGGTGGGTCAGGGGAGTGCCCTCTAGGTCCTGCACACACGATCATCACACTGGCCTATGAACCTAAGAGGGCAGATGTTGCCCATCTCACCACTGCCACACCCCAGGGGCTAGGAAAGGGCCTATTCCAGAGCAGGTCCTCTGCCAGCCCTGTAAGGGGGCTGCAGGTCTCCCTTCTCATGATGAGAACATGCCCACAAGAGCCAGGTGACTGGATGGAAGACCCAAAGATTCGAGTGCCTGGGGTGGCAGCCAACAGTAACAAAAGGAATGACATGCTTTTTTTTTTGAGATAGAGTCTTGGTGTCACCCAGGCTAGAGTGCAGTAGCACAATCTCAGGTCATTGCAACCTCTGCCTCCTGGGTTCAAGCAATTCTCCTACCTCAGCCTCCCGAGTAGCTGGGACTACAGGCGTGCACCACCACACCTGGCTAATTTTTTGTAGTTTTAGTAGAGACAGGGTTTCACCATGTTGGCCAGGCTGGTGTTGAACTCCTGACCTGAGGTGATCCACCTGCTCTGGCCTCCCAAAGTGTTGGGATTACAGGCATGAGCCACCATGCCCGGCCTGATAATCCTGCCTTTTAAATGGCAGGAGCAGCAAGGAATCAGTGGACACAGTCTCTGGAGTCCATCACTGATCACAGGCACAGTCCCTCCCCTGCAATTCCAAATTCTACAAAGCTCTGAAAATGGAAATTGTCATAAGCTGGCAGCCAAACTTGACCTGCATCATTGTAAGCCCATAATCTAGGTGAGTATTTGGAAGTTCTACTGCATAAACATTAACATGTCTGGCTTCCCCAAGGCCCTGCTGAGGGTGCTATATAACACACAGTCCACATATGTGCCTCCATTCTAAAATGTGGATAGTTCTAATTCCAAAAGATACCTGGCCTAGTCGTTTGGGATAAGGCACTGTGGACGTGGGGCTGGTGTGGCTGTCAGTCTCTTCTCCACACCTGTTCTTTATCTATGAGGAATAACATTACTCTCCTCCCAAGGAGAAGGAGGAGGGGGAGGAAGGGAGAATGGGAGGAAGCCTGAAAAGGTACTGTCCCAGTGCCTAGCACACACTCAAAAACCTCACAATTTCTGGGCCATGATTGCTGTTTGTGATACCCTTACCTCCTCTCGCAGCTCATACTGCTCAATCAGCTTCTTGAGCCTCTCAGCCAGCTCCATGTTCTCTTGGCGCAGCTTGGAGTTGCGCTCATTGTGCTGTTCCATCTGCAGCTGAATGTCATTCAGTGTCACCTGGAAGTGCGAGGTCACCTCCTTGCGCTTCTCCTCCTCCTCCCGGGCCCGCTGCACACCTTCTTCCTGGGCAGAGAAGTCAGCCCTAGAGCCATCATCCACTGCTACCTCACAAGGGTCCCCCAGCTAGTCCACAGATGGTCTCTGCCAACAGCCCTCCCTGCTCCCAAAGTGAGGAGTAGCCAGGCTCCAGGATGTTGTGCAATGCAGGTTCCAATGGACCCCCCTGTATATCAGGTGACATCAAGTGAGATTCTCCCCCTACAAAAATGCAGGTACATGGCAGGCGCGGTGGCTCACGCCTGTAATCCCAGCACTTTGGGAGGCTGAGGTGGGTGGATCACGAGGTCAGGAGTTCGAGACCAGCCAATATTGATTGGTGAAACTCGTCTCTACTAAAAATACAAAAATTAGCTGGGCGTGATGGCGTGCACCTGTGGTCCCAGCTGCTTGTGAGGCTGAGACAGAGGAGTCGTTTGAACCTGGGAGGCGGAGGTTGTGGTGAGCCAAGATTGCGCCACTGCACTCCCACCTGGGCGATGGGCCACAGAGCAACACTTTGTCCCCCCCACCAAAAAAAAAAGAAAAAATGCAGGCACACATGCACACATGTAAGTGCCGTTTTGAAGCAAGTCGGATCTCCTAAGGCCTATTCTTCCAGATTTCAGATTAATGTGCATTTGTCCCCTCTGTACTCCCAGAGACCAAGCTGTTAACATTTAGTAACACCCAGGGTTTGCGAAGTTGTGTAGAATTAGGCACTCAACACTTTTGATGTGGCAGGCACACTGTCCCCTTACTGGAAGGCAATCCAGCAAAATCTCTTAAAATGAAAAATCTGCATATACTGTGACCTAGCCATTTCACTTCCATGACTTATCCTACAGATAAGTTCTATATAACTGACCAGTGATAAATATAACAAGAATTTTCACTATAGTTCTATATGTAATAATGAAAAATTGTAAACAACCTCAAATGCTTTAACTAGGGCACTGATATATCCATATGATGAGAAAATAGCCCTACACATACTGATAGGGAAAAACGTTATGTAAAGTGAAAAAAGGCGTAAGTTACGAAATGGTACATGTATAATAATTTCATTCCAGAAACTACAGGTAAGATTTTACATATAAAAAGGAAAGTTAGAAGGCTGTATTTAAAATTGCTGTAACCACAGACTGACCTCACCATAGAAGCAGCAGAACATGGGAAGGACCCAGGTTCCTGACTGACCAACCTCTGGGACAAGAGCTGCTTGTCAGAGCCAGGCCTCCTCCACTTACCAGGGGACTGCCATTTCATTAAGAAATACTGACGCCAGTGCATTATGGATTCTCTTAGTACTTTATCCTTCACCTTATCTAATACATGTCAAATGGTTATAAGCAGCATTCTCTAACATAAGGTATTATTGAGAAAGTGTATTTCTTTTTTTTTTTTTTGAGACGGAGTCAGGCTGGAGAGCAGTGGCACGATCTCGGCTCACTGCAAGCTCCGCCTCCCAGGTTCACGCCATTCTCCTGCCTCAGCCTCCCGAGTAGCTGGGACTACAGGCGCCCACCACCACACCCGGCTAATTTTTTTTTTGTATTTTCGGTAGAGACGGGGTTTCACCGTGTTAGCCAGGATGGTCTCCATCTCCTGACCTCGTGATCCACCCACCTCGGCCTCCCAAAGTGCTGGGATTACAGGTGTGAGCCACCACGCCCGGCCGAGAAAGTGTATTTCTATGCCACAAGTCTGCACTTTTTTTTTTTTTTTTGACACCAAGTCTCACTCTGTTGCCCAGGCTGTAATGCAGTGGTGCAATCTTGGCTCACTGCAACCTCAGCCTCTCGGGTGCAAGCAATTCTCGTGCCTCAGCCATCTAAGTAGCTGGGATTATAGGCATGTGCCAGCACACTTGGCTATTTTTTGTATTTTTAGTAGAATGGGGTTTCTTTTTCCAGGTTGGTCCCAAACTCCTGGCCTCAAGTGATCCATCCACCTCAGCCTCCCAAAGTGTTGCGATTATAGGCGTAAGCCACCACGCCCAGCCTTGCTTTTTTACACTGATTCCATTTGGAAATTGTAATGTTTTGGATGTTGGGTTAAATATATTACTAAAATTAATTTCACCTGTTTCTTTTTACTTTTTTAGAGTGGCCGAAAGATTTTTAATCACTTATGTGGGCCACTGCACCCAGGCCTAGCCTCCATTACTTTTTAAGAGGAAAGCCCATGAAAGAAACATTAAGTGGAAGTCAAGGAAATCAGAGTCACCTGTTCCAGGGGGCCCAGGCCTACCTTGAGGGAGCGGTTGTGCCGCTGCAGCTCACGGCATAGGCTCTCAAGCTTGCTACGGGCCAGGACGGCCTTACTGTGCTCACCACGCAGATGGTCCTTCTCTTGCACCAATTGGCTCTGCTTCTTCTGCAGGAGCTTCATCTGTTTCTGTGAGTTCCGGTGCTCCTCCAGCTAGGGACAGGGATAGGGAGGGCAGGTGAGCATCCCGTGAGGCCTTCCTGGTGGGGATCACTATTCGGGTCTAGGCTCTCCTGAGCTGCCCTGAACCGCACCGTTTCAGACCAGGAGTGCTCTCATGGGCTGACGCTGTGCCGTTGCTTACACACTCCTCCCATGAACTGACACTAACCCCGAAGCCTCCACCATAGGGACAGAGAAATGGACACTTACTAGGGCAAGCAGGGGCCACACAGCCAGCAGATGCCAACTGCTATTCCAGCTCTGACTCTGGGCCACTAGAGCCACTTCAAGCTGTTGCATTTCCCCAACTTGCTGGACACTCATGCCCAAGGATGAGACCACCTGCTACCCTACCTTGTGCCTATTAACAGACCCCCATCGCTCCCTTACATTCCTTCAAAACGTTAGCACTGGGTTCATCAGCACTCCCCCCAGCACAATTACTTTTCTCATTTATGGCCACTTCAGTATCAACAGATAATCCTTCTGACTCCCTGGTCTCCCAGTCCTTCAGTTCTTCCACAAACTCACTCCTTTCTCCAGCTCAGTTTCCCTACCATGACCCTATCCAGGCCTATACAACAGAAATATAATGCAAACCACATAAATAATTAAAAATATTCTACTGGCCACACTGAAAAAAAAAGGTGAAATTAATTTTAGTAATATATTTATTGTAACCCAATATCCAAAACATTACAATTTCAACACACAATCAATGTAAAAAAGGGCGGCCGGGAGCGGTGGCTTACATCTGTAATCCCAGCACTTTGGGAGGCCGAGGCAGGCAGATCACTTGAGGTCAGGAGTTCAAGACCAGCCTGGCCAACATGGTGAAACCCCGTTTCTACTAAAAAAAATACAAAAAAGCAGCCAGTTTGGTGGCACATGCCTGTAATCTCAGCTACTTGGGAGGCTGTGAGGCAGGAAAATCGTTTGAACCTGGAAGCAGGACATCACGCCACTGTATTCCAGACAGGGTGACTGAGACACTAACAAAAAAAAAAAGTGAGATGTTTTATATTCTTTGTTTTCGCTTAAGTCTTCAAAATCTGATGTCTATCTTACATTTACAGCACGTTCAAATTCAGACTGGCCACATGTCAATTAGCTAGAAACGAATTTATCTTGGACAGCACAGATCTAGACTTTGTCACTACCAGAGAGCACACCCACTATCTCAATTTCCAGCACCCCAGGCCAGGACTACCATCACCTATCTTTTTAGCTCATTCCAATCAATATCTGTGATCCTCAGAAAGTCTCTTACCCTATAAGGACCTCCAATCCATTGACTCAACCATCCTTCCACTCTCCTTTAAAATAACCACTTACCTTATTACCTGGCTTAGATTTCTTACACCCTCAACTCTCTTGGCCCTTCCCCAGTAATACTGCAACCCTAGTAAAGCACCTTCCTGCTTTACACCAGTACTGAACAACCCTACTTGAAGAGTCTCACTTTAAATTCACGGCCACCAATTTCAAGAAAAGCAGCAATCTCAACACAATGCACATGCTATTCACACTCCTCTCCTTCCAGACAACTATTCATCGTCCTCATCAAATCCCAAAACACAGAAGAAACCAGAGAATCAGGGGCAGAAGCTCCACATCTGCCAGTCCACCTGCCCCGTCCTCTCCTCCAGTCACACAGACCTAGCCATGTGGTTACCACAGCCAAGCCCCCTTCTTGGGCACTGGGCCTCAGGTCCCCTCCTCTACTCACACCACCACTCCAACAACTCATTTCCTCTCTTGCGTCAGCAATTTTCCCCTGGCTGGATCACTCTAAAAGGGTGCTTATCTTCCTTACACCTTTTATTTAATCCTTACAAGAATGTCATTAGGCAGGTATGACATTCCCCATTTTACAGATGAGTAAAATTCCCTACAGGAAAATATTAATAAATGTGTGTGGAATGAATTAATTTTAACATGAATACTTAGAGGCTGGGCGCAGTAGCTCACGCCTGTAATCCCAGCACTTTGGGAGACCGAGATGGGCAGATAACGAGGTCAAGAGATCGAGACCATCCTGGCCAACATGGTTGGCCTGTCTCTACTGAAATATACAAAATTTAGCCAGGCGTGGTGGCATGCGCCTGTAATTCCAGCTACTCGGGAGGCTGCAGCAGGAGAACCGCTTGAACCTGGGAGGCGGAGGTTGCAGTGAGTCAAGACCATGCCACTGCACTCTAGCCTGGTGACAGAGCGAGACTCCATCTCTAAATAAATAGGCTGGGTGCGGTGGCTCACGCCTGTAATCCCAGCACTTTGGGAGGCCGAGGCAGGCAGATCATGAGGTCAGGAGATTGAGACCATCCTGGCTAGCACAGTGAAACCCTGTCTCTACTAAAAAAAAAAAAAAAAATTGGCTGGGCATGGTGGTGGGCGCTTGCAGTCCCAGTTACTCCGGAGGCTGAGGCAGGAGAATGGCATGAACCCGGGAGATGGAGCTTGCAGTGAGCCGAGATCGTGCCACTGCACTCCAGCCTGGGCAACAGAGCGAGACTCCGTCTCAAAATACATACATACATACATACATACATACATACTTAGGCTGTGACCATCAATAGATAAATCTGTTAGTTCAAATTCTGACAGGGGACCTGATGATGGAAGAATCTGGCTGCCCCACCCTCAACCCACTGAACAATGTTACAACAGAGTGGGAAGAGCATGCTTTGCATTTATTGTGATGGAACATGAAGTACAGAGTACTACTTATGAAGAATTCTTGTCTAAAACTTGAAGCTGAATTGGATCAAGCTTTAGAGCTAACTTCTACTTCACTTACAGGCACTAGGAGGTAAAGAAGTAAAATGCTACCACAGAGATGACAAAGCTAGAAGGGGGCATCCTACAGGACAGCCAGTCTGGTTTCTGTAAAAAGTCAATGTCATGGGGAGTATGAGGAGGCAGTGACAAGAAGACTGCTCTGAAGTAAAAGGAAAATATCAAGTGACTAGCATTAGTTTTATTTACTGTGATAATGGCTCTATGCATCTGTATTTGAGGAAGATGCATCAAGATCACAAGGTGTCTTGGACTCAGGCCAGGAACAAGGGCTCTACCACCTTGGAATCATTCTTTGAGAAATTTCTTTCAAGGAATATGCAGTTTCTCGAACTCTTGCTGCACAGCCCTGAAGAGGCTCGCTGAGAGTGATTCCCCATTTAACAGATATTTCAGAGAAGCTGAACAGAAATTAAGCCACCTACCTGCCTCTGCACCCCCAACCCTATACCAGGTGGCATGCTGATTTTCCCAAGGCAGGGAAGGTGCCCGCGGAGGGGGGAACTGACCAGTTCAGCATACTTCTTGCACAGAGCGGCCAGCTTCTCCTCTGGGGTACTCAAAGTATTCAATGTCTGCATCAGCAACGTGATCTCCTTCCCTGCAAAGCACAGGAGCAAAGACATGCACTCCCTTCTCCAGGGGTCCCCTCCAGGCCTGGGCTCACACTCATCATGAGTGCTGAAGATAGCCCTCCCCACCACACTTTATATTTTGCTTGTTAATTAGCTCCTTCCTTACTATAGGGACCAACTCAATCCTGCCCTCACTGTAGCCCCAGTATTGTCCATAGTACCATCACAGAGAATATGTTCAACAAATGCTTATCAAATGAACGACTGTACCCTACTGAAATCTCCTTAGTGGACACCACTGGCAGGGTAAAAAAACTGCCTGCTCTACCAACAGACGAAAGATTTCCCACTTATGAATTCAGGGCTACTGTTTCATACAGTTTCAATGCAAGGAAGGCCCACCCTCCTGATAGAGGTAGGATCCAAAAAGGAATAGATGTCTTAGCCTCCTTGAGAAATACTAAACTCTTGTCAACAGAGTAGCCAAACAGTGAACTTTAAAATGAAGATACTTTCGGCCAGGTGCGGTGGTTCACGCCTGTAATCTCAGCATTTTGGGAGGCCGAGGTGGATCATGAGGTCGAGAGATCGAGACCATGCTAACATGATGAAACCCCATCTCTACTAAAAATACACACAAAAAAATTAGCAAGGCGTGGTGGGGGGTGCCTGTAGTCCCAGTTACTCGGGAAACTGAGGTAGGAGAATCACTTGAACCTGGGAGGCAGAGGTTGCAGGGAGGTGGAGATTGTGCCACCGCACTCCAGCTTGGTGACAGAGTGAGACCCCCGTCTAAAAAAATAAATGAACTAAAAAAAAAAAAAAAGAAGATACTTTCCATATATGTGACCCTAAGATTTTTTCTTTTCTTTTTTTTTTTTTTTTGAGACGGAGTCTCACCCTATCACCCAGGCTGGAGTGCAATGGCATGATCTCAGCTCACTGCAACCTCTGCCTCCTGAGTTCAAGTGATTCTCCTGCCTCAGCCTCCTGAGTAGCTGGGATTACAGGCACATGCCACCATGCCCAGCTAATTTTTTTTACCTTTAGTAGAAATGGGGTTTCACCATGTTGGCCAGGCTGGTCTCGAACTCCTGACCTCATGATCTGCCCACCTTGGCCTCCCAGAGTGCTGGGGTTACAGGTGTGAGCCACTGTGCCTAGCCGTCCCTAAGATTTTTTTTTTTTTTTGAGAGAGCCTCGCTCTGTCACCCAGGCTGGTATGCAGTGGTGCGCTCTTGTGTCACTGCAAGCTCCACCTCCTGGGTTCACGTGATTCTCCTGCCTCAGCCTCCCGAGTAGCTGGGACTACAGGTGCCTGCCACCACGCTCGGCTACTTTTTTGTATTTTTAGTAGAGACAGGGTTTCACCATGTAAGCCAGGATGGTCTCGAACTCCTGACCTCATGATCCACCCGCCTCAGCCTCCCAAAGTGCTGGGATTACAGGCATGAGCCACCGTGCCCGGCCATAAGATTTTTAAAAGTTCCTCTTTAAAGTAGGATGATACAAAAGGGGAGAGGGAAATAGGAATAAAACATGGATATAATGACACCCAAGTTAGATTCTAGATGCTTCTTTTTTTTTTTTTTTTTTGAGACGGAGTTTCACTCTTGTTGCCCAGGCTGGAGTGTAGTGGCACGATCTTGGCTCACTGTAACCTCTGCCTCCAGAGTTCAAGCCATTCTCCTGCCTCAACCTCCCAAGTAGCTGGGATTACAGGCGTGTGCCACCATGCCCAGCTAATTTTTGTATTTTTAGTAGAGACAGGGTTTCATCATGTTGGCCAGGCTGGTCTCGATCTCCTGACCCTCAGGTGATCCATCCGCCTCGGCCTCCCAAAGTGCTGCAGTAACAGGCAAGAGCCACCGCGCCCGGCCTAGACTCTCAAACATACATACCCTGCTGTAAAATAACTGTCACTGCCCGTTCCCCATTGCCTGTGCCTAAGTCAGGGAGCCTTCCCTCTGCCTTCACAGAAGGGCCCAAGAGATCAGCATGGAGACTGTAATTCGCAGGCAGGCATGCCAAATCCAACCCACGGATGGGTTTTGTTTGGCTCTTACCATTTTAGCTGCTAACTATGAAAAAATCTTAGAGTTCTCACATAACTCTACATTGCTGGCTTTTCTTAAAAAAAATAAAAATAATTAAAAAAAAAAAAGGCGGCTGGGCACGGTGGCTCACGCCTGTAATCCCAACACTTTGGGAGGCTGAGGCAGGCGGATTACAAGGTCAGGAGATCGAGACCATCCTGGCTAACACAGTGAAACCCCGTCTCTACTAAAAATACAAAAAAAAATTAGCCGGGCGTGGTGGCGGGCACCTGTAGTTCCAGCTACTTGGGAGGCTGAGCCAGGAGATTGGTGTGAACCTAGGAGCAGATCTTACAGTGAGCCGAGATTGTGCCACTGCACGCACTTCAGCCTGGGTGACAGAGCGAGACTCTGTCTCAAAAAATAAATAAATAAATAAATAAATAAACAAACAAAAATAAAAGAAGCCTGCACCCAGCCTGCAGTTTTGCCTGCTCTCAGTTGGCTAGTTGAGAGCAACTAATCAGGAAGCAGTAAAGTCTTTGGATAAAGTAGCCTCCATCTTCATGTGGCCCCACAGCAGCCCAGCTCATGCAGACATTTGGGTTTTCAACTCCAGCCTAGTCTAATTTTCTTACTGTAAAGAGAAGTATAAACTAAGACCCAGAGAGGAGAAGGGACACACCCGAGATCACACAGCAGGTAGTACTGGCTGGCACAGGAGCTCACCCTGGCCTCCCATCTCCATTTTCTCAAAGAGAGAACAGGTCCCATGCCAACCCCCAGTTGCTCCAAAAGCCAGAAGGCCTTGTGCTGGGAACCCCTGCATCTCTCTATGCCGTGGCCCCCACATCCCTGGCTTTGATTACACTAGAGTGACTTGCTGTTCTGAGAAGTACCGTCTTCCTTTGAATCCTGGCGGAACAGACTGGTCCAGAGAACATCAAGTCCAAACTCCCTCCCCTCACCAGCCTCACAAAGAGCCACCCTCTGCTCACCCAAACCCTTGGCTTTTTTCTTCTCCTGTGGCCTTCGGTGGTCTCGGTCTCCGACCTCATCACTCTGCCGGATCTCTTCTGTGCCTGGATCCCCCTTGGAGGGTTCCTTCTCTCCATTGACTACTGGAGTTGGTTCAGGCTCCCCATTCCTTGCCACATAGGTCCGGGACTTCTCTGCATCTTCGGGTTCAGCTGGCTCACCCTGTGCCCCATCCTCGCCAGGCCCCCCCTGGTTACTGTCCACACAGTATGTGCTCAGTATGTCTTCCAATTGGCGACTCAGCTCCTCAGAGACATCACGAAGGGCCCCAGACTGAGCCGTTTTGGCTTGAGCCCCTACAGCAGGAGAGGATGAGGGGTAGAGTGAGAAAGAAGACAATTATACCACTGGTTGGGAATTTTCAGCTCCAGCCAAACTCATCAGTTTGAGTTAAATGTTGCCTAACTTTTCTTTTTTTTATGGAAATTGAGAAGCAAGAATGGAGTATTATTCAGCAAATCTAGTTCCTGTCAGAATTTAGATTCGAAACATCTTTTGAATCAAGAAATTATAGTAATATAATATAGTTAAGCTTAACTTCTGTTCACTTGTAAAATGACACAACTATTTCTCACTACCACCCGAACATGTTTGTTATGATCATAAAAGTATGTAAAGCATCAGCACACAGGGATGGCATGGTGCACCTTCTAGTCCATCTCCTTCCCCCTCACAAAACCATTTTTTACCATTCAGATCATTCTAGAAATGCCTCAAACAGGAAGGGCAGTTAGCTGCTAGTGGCTGAGGTGTTTCAAACCGGATCTGGATTTCCTGACTGGGTGCCCCGTTTGGCTGCCACCTGACTTAATCCCGTTAGAGGTTCTCTCCAGAACTCTGTTCCTGTGCTTAGAGGGAGCGGCTCCGCCAACTCGCCAGAATTCAGGGGGGACCGCGGCCCCAGCACTGTCCTCTCATTCTACATTCCCTCCTCCCGGACAACCTGGCCTCGGCCTCTAAGTCCAGAAGCGAGGCAGGCCCCACAGCTCCACCCCCTGCCCGCTGGCAACGCAGAGCTGGCACACACCCTCCGGCTTCCGAGGAGCCTGGCTGCTGCCGGGACCTTCTGTTTCTGCTGCAGGAGCCGCCTGGCTGGGCCGCTCCTGGGCTCCCTCGGGTCCTGCTTCCGGTTGTCCCGGGCTGCTTTTTGGGTTGGATTGTTTGGCAGCCCCGTTCTTTTTGTCTTGGTTCTTCATTGTGATGAGCGAGGCTGGGTCAGGAGAAGATCCTTTAGAAATAAACACAGTTGCTATTTTCCAGACTTCGAAATTCTTCGCAGCCTGGATCAGAAAATCCCCACAGCAGGCGCACAAAGCTTCTTAAACGGACCGGCCGGCCCTGGCAGAGGGCGCCAACGGCTCTCGGGTCTTGGAGGGTCAGGGGAGCCCGGCGTGCCGCGACAGGCTTTCGGGGCGCAGCTCCCGCAGCGGGTGAGGGAAGAGGCCTCTTTTCTCCCTGGAGCCACTTCTCGACACAACCTGCCCCCTCGCGGCAGGCCGGGCCCGGGATTGGCTCAGGGCCGGAGACTGACGTGGCGGGACTCCCGGCGCCGGCGCCGCCCCCGCCTCTCAGGCCCCACGTGCGCCCCCCGCGCGCGCAGCCACCCACGCCCCGCGCGCCCTCCAGCCTGGAGGCACGCCCGCGCATGCGTACCCCCCCCAAGCAGCACCCCCCCCGGTCCCGGCCGCCGGCCCACGCGCGGAGTTGGCGTGATTTCCCCACAGGCCGAGAACATCCCGGCCCGCACACCCTCAAATAGTCTCGCCCAACGGCTGCCACGGCACGTACCTCACCGCCGACGTCCGACGGCTTCCCCAGCTCTGGCCTCGCACCGGAAACCCCGAGTAACCGCTGCCGGCGAGCCGCCTGCTCCCGCCTCAGCCAATCAATAGCCGGCGCCGGCGCGGAGCTTGCTGGGAAGGACGAAGCGAGGGCGGCCTCGGAGGCGGGCGCGCCGGGAGGGCGGGGCAGGGAAAAGTCTACGCGTTCTTCCGTACGCAGGGGCTATCCGCAGATCCCAAAGTGCATAAGGGGCTGTAGTCCTCAGAGTCCAAAAGGAGCCCGTCATTCTGCACGAGTGCCCACGTCAACCTTGTTTCTATCTCGCAGAAGCTATGTTTCAACTCCCAAAGCCTTTGCGCCTGGCTATTGTTTCCTGCAGGCCTCCATCAAACCTTCCTCCCTGGCCGTGAACAAATGTGACTCCATCCAGGAACTCCGAGGACTCGGGAAGAGGGGTAAGAGTCTTGAGCTGAGACTCAGGAGACCCACACTCCAGTCCCAATTTCATCACGGATTTGCTGTGTGGCTGGACGTTCTTTTCTCTCTCTGGGCCTCGATGTCCTTCTTCCGAAGGAGGCTTTTAATAACAATTCCTTGAACGCTTACTGTGTGCTTTCCCAGTATCTAATAGCTTGGTTCTCATAACCACTCATAGAAATAACTACTATCTGTTATCCCCATTTTACGGAAAAGGACAGTAAGAGAAAGGTTAGGTAACTTGTCCAAGGTCACATGGATAGTGAGTGGTTAAAACAGGGATTCAAAATGTAAGTCTGACACCAGCACCCAGGTAACTACTCGGCTACCCTGTCTTTTACCCAGAAGAAACACTACCACAGCAGGTTTCCCTGAGGCAGTCAAGGTAACTTGTGAAAGTAGGTCATATTTTCCCCTCTCCATTACCGTTTTGGCAGTCAGTTCCTCAGGAAGGTGCTGAGTCAGGCTTCAGGCATATTCATGAGCCTTTACCCCACACTCTACAAAGTCTCACTGGGGTTAAAGTAGGAAAAAACCCCACAATTCTCTACACGTGAGATCACAGTTCTGTATCCTCATTGTTTCTGGATAATGAAGTCAAACCCAACAATCCTTGTGCCTAGAATTTGAAGCCTAAGAGGTTTGGCTTTTGCCAAACCCAAAAATTTTTGAGGCCCAGTTCAAAGGTCACTTCAGAGCCTTCCCAGTGCTCTGCAATCCGTACTTGCTCCCTAGGTCTGCAGAGTTCTGTTACAGCATTAGCAGTGAGGTGTTGAAATTACTATTTGCTTATAAGTCAGTTAATTTTGCAAGAAGTGTTGGCTAAATATTCTAGTCCCAGAGCCTCGCATCAGGCTGTGGGTAGAGAAGATTGTAAACTGTTGTACTAATTGAGCGTTGGTTTAGGGTTGTTCGGATGTTAAATATTTCCCCCAAAGGCTCAGTGAAAGACTTCAGAGCAGTGCATTTTGGATTTCAGATTTTCAGATTAGGGAAGCTCAACCGGTAAAGTTTGAGAAAATCCCAAATTCGAAACACTTCTGGTCCCAAGCATGTTGGATAAGAGATATTCAACTTGTAGTATAATGATGGAACTGAGGCTCAGAAAGATTTGGAATCTAGGTGTCCTGAAACAAGGCCCTGATTATTTCTAGAAAAGCATTCTAGAAATCTCTTGAGGAGGCACCATATAAATCAGGCCTTGATACATTTTCATATAGAGGGTGTTCTAGGTGAGATAAAGAACATAAAAATGTATGCCTGGGGTGAAGGGTAGAGGATGTAGTGGAAGGGCCAACAATAGCCTAGAGGGGCCGGCTAGGTAATGAGAACAGGCAAGAATATTCGACAGAAACATGGGTTAACAAGTTACTTTCTCCTTTGCTATAAACAATGTATAGCAACAATATTAGCACCTGCCAGATTGAGAGAGGTGGTGATTGCAGTAAAATACAGCAGCTCTTGCACATTGTTACCAAGCAGAAACTCTCTACTAAAAATACAAGAAAATTAGCCGGGCGTGGTGGCAGGCGCCTGTAGTCCCAGCTACTCGGGAGGCTGAGGCAGGAGAATGGCGTAAACCCGGGAGGTGGAGCTTGCAGTGAGCCGAGATCGCGCCACTGCACTCCAGCCTGGGGCACAGAGCCAGACTCCGTCTCAAAAAAAAAAAAAAAAAAAAAAGTAAAACACAGCAGCTCTTGCACATTGTTACCAAGCAGAAACTCAGGCCGGGTAGGGCCAGGTAGTATTTTTCTTTTTTGTAGATAGGTTTTACTCGGCTGCTGGGGCTGGAGTGCAGTGATCATTCTAGCTCACTGCAGACTCGACCACCTGGACTCAAGTGATCCTCTTGCCCCAGCCTCCCAAGTAGCTAGGACTACAGGTATGTGCCACCACAGCCAGCTTTTAAATTTTTTTGTAGAGACAGGTCTCACTATGCTGCCCAGGCTGGTCTTGAGCTCCTGGCCTCAAGTGATCCTCCTGCCTTGGCCTCCCAAAGGGTTGGGATTACAGGCATGAGCCAAAGAGCTTGGCCTCTTTTTAAAAATGGATACTTCATGACAATCTTTTCCCAGACAGACATTTCTTGATTTTTTAAAAAAATGTTGGCCGGGCGCAGTGGCTCAAGCCTGTAATCCCAGCACTTTGGGAGGCCGAGACGGGCGGATCACGAGGTCGGGAGATCGAGACCATCCTGGCTAACACGGTGAAACCCTGTCTCCACTAAAAATACAAAAAATTAGCCGGGCATGGTGGCAGGCACCTGTAGTCCCAGCTACTCGGGAGGCTGAGGCAGGAGAATGGCGTGAACCTGGGCGGCGGAGCTTGCAGTGACCCGAGATCGCGCCACTGCACTCCAGCCTGGGCGACAGAGCGAGACTGTCTCCAAAAAAAAAAAAAAAAAATGTTGGCAACGAATTCAAACTTAAACACTCTGCCAAGCAAAACCTTCCTGTGGGTTCAATAAACTTTCTGGCTGCTTGTCTGTCATCTATGTTTTAGGAATTGATCTAAACTGAAAGGAGGAGTCTGTGAATTATTTGATCTTAAGAGGTTCAGGCCAGGCACGATGGCTCATGCCTGTAATCCCAGCACTTTGGCGGAGGCAGGCGGATCACCTGAGATCAGGAGTTCAAGATCAGCCTGGCCAACGTGGTGAAACTGTCTCTACTAAAAATACAAAAATTAGCTGGGCGTGGTGGTGGGCACCTGTAATCCCAGCTACTTGGGAGGCTGAGGCAGGAGAATCACTTGAACCCGGGAGGCAGAGGTTGCAGTGAACCGAGGTCACGCCATTGCACTCCAGCCTGGATACCAAGAATAAAAACCTCCGTTTCAAAAAAAAAAAAAAAAAAAAAAAAAAAAAAAAAAGGTTCAAAGGGCTGTAGAGTAGTGCTGATGACAGTAAGTCAAAATCATTTAGAGAAACTCTAGAAAATGCAAACTGAACTACAGTGACAGCCACAGATCAGTGGTTGCTGGAGGTGGGGCAGAAAGGAGGGATTCTCAAGCAGGAAGCTTATGGCTTATGAAGATCATAGATATATTCACTATCTTGTGGTTGTTTTATGGGTGCATATGTTTCAATTTATCAAAGTGTACATACTTTAAATATGTACAATTTATTGTGTCAATTATATTTCAATAAAGTCGATGAAAAAAACTTTACAGCAGGTACAGGTTGGTACAACTCTTATTTCCACTGTTAAGCTACAAGTTTAAACACCTCCTTATTCTCTTCCCCCAAATTCAGTCTAGGGTCACTCCAAACCAAAGAAGACAATTTAGAACTTTGCAACAGGTTTTTATTTTTGCTTTATATCTATTACAGTGTTTGAAACCTAAAGAAATACATTTTCTCTTCAAATTTGGATGTGTATATAAATAACATTTGTCTGGACTCAGCACACTCAATGCCATGGTTTCTTGGCCTACGTATGCTCTGAAATCAAGCTGTGTCTGTCTACCCAGGGGCCCTGAGAACATGGAAAATAGAGTTTATAGTTATTAGAAAAATAAAAGCAAATGAATTTGCAAAGAAAAACCAGTGAGAAGGATTAGATTCATCTTCCAAGGGTCCATAGCTGGTAACTCAAGCCATTCTTGGGGGATATCCAGTCTCTTGAGTGGCTGGGACTCCATTACCCACTTTCCTTCTTTAATAGGTCAAAGGCAATTCCCACAAAAGCTGGCTAAAAAAGCTGACACCCAACTTCAGAGTCTGAGGGTTCATGAAGATGTGGACTTTTTTTTTTTTTTGAGACGGAGTCTCACCCTGTCACCCAGGCTGACGCAATCTTGGCTCACTGCAACCTCTGCCTCCTGGGTTCAAGAGATTCTCCTGCCTCAGCCTCCCGCGTAGCTGGGATCACAGGTGCCCACCATCGCACCCAGCTGTTTTTTTTTTTTTTTTTTTAAAGTAGGGACGGGGTTTCACTATGTTGGCCAGGCTGGTTTTGAACTCCTGACCTCAAGTGATCTGCCTGCCTTGGCCTCCCAAAGTGCTAGGAGTAAGGCATGAGCCACCGTGCCCAGCTGAAGATGTGGATTTTTTTTTTTTTTTTTGAGACAGAGTCTCACACTGTCACCCGAGCTGAAGTGCAGTTACGTAATCTTGGCTCACTGCAACCTCCGCCTTCTGGGTTCAAGTGATTCTGCTGCCTCAGCCTCCCAAGTAGCTGGGATTACAGGCGTCTGCCACCACGCCCAGCTAATTTTTTGTATTTTTAGTAGAGACGAGGTTTCACTATGTTGCCAGGCTGGTCTCAAACTCCTGACCTTGTGATCCGCCCA